GTGCGTGAATGGATTTCCGATTGGCAAGTCGATAGCGCCCCGAGACCGATATTTCTCTGCCGCCTGTGCGATATTCGCGAGAAGAGAGACAGGGACGAGGAAAAAGAGGAGAAGAAGGCGTCTCGCGCGGCGAGAGAGTGGAATGAACGAGGGACGAAAGTGCGAGTAGCGGATCTCTCGCGCTCCCGTCGGAGAGCTCGTGGATTCCTCCGCTCGGATCTCTCCGTTCGTCTCTCTTTCTCTCTCTCTCTCTCTCTCCTCGCCGAGAACGACGGCGACGGCGCGCTAGCTGGTCTCTTGGATGCCGTCGCCGTGCCAAGTCGAGAGAGAATGCGGATTCGACTGTTGCTGCGCGGTCAGTGCGGTAGCCCGAATCCCTGTCGGCGACGACTACTCGACGCGCTCCGCGATCACGGGAACGTTTTTCCGCGAGTGTCCTCGGGGTCGTTTTCGCCGTCCTGCGAATCGTGCTCGCGCGTGAGAGTGCGTTCCGCTGCTCCCGCCAAACTTGGTCGGCCACGGCGGAATCCGCGTTCTTTTCTGCCCGCCCGCTAGTCCTATGAATTTTCAGTAAGTTTCTATGAATTTTCAAAACAATCTACAGAGTCGATAATAATAGATCCTATTTCTAATCTTGCTTGTCCGATATCCTTTTCGGCTTGGATTATGCTTGTTGTGGAAAACAAGATGATTGGACAAAAACAACATTCTTTTTCAATCTTTTTAATCCTTTTTCAAACCTCACGCTGAATAAGTGTCCATCTCGCTTAACTTTGTAATTTCTTTTTCCCTGTTTACTGTTTTTGAAGCTATTTTGAAAATGATGATTTATGGAAATTTCTTAATTTCGAAGACGAGAGATTTGTATCTCTGTATTATAAATTCGAAACTATCGCAATGTTAATTACAAGTTTGTCGAATCTGCCAATCTAATACGACTCACGGTCGAGATATCATTTTTATCGGAATCTTTGATATTTCCGGGCCAAGATCATCTTTTTTTTCTCACGATCAGTTCTCCTTATCGCTATTTGTAGGCCGGATGTACATCCGCTAATATCAAACTTGCAAGTGTGTAGTTTTACACGGCAATTACTGAGCTGCGAAGTCAGTCAAACCTTAATTAGTCGATTTACTTTTTTTTTCTTCACGTATCTACAAATTTAGAATTTGGTAATAACGTCATAAATTTCGAGTTTGAAGTTAATTGTCAATGTCGCTGGACGTTTCTAAATTGGCAGACTTGGTCTCGTCACGGATAATGATGCTCAGAGCAGGGACTTTAGAAATATAATTAAAAATTATTAACATTAATGATGAAATAAAAGGCAAGTTTTGACACTAATTAACGTCGGCGCTCGTTACCCAAATTTATATAAATCTTGGTCATTGCGCGGTCATAGCTTCCGGACGTCAAAACGAAAAATCGCCTCAACGTATCAGTCTCGACCCTGATTATAACCGCTTCCGCACCGCGTGTGTCGCGTACATGGCCGAATAAAAAAAAATAGCGATCAAATAGCGTAAAATTTCACGGATTCCACGAGATATCCCCCGCGTGAATTTTTTAGGTGCACTCGTGAGATCGAGCGCAGGAGGAAGAAAGATGTGCGTTATCATCGCGCGTAAACTCGTTAATCGTATGAAATATACGGGGGGGGATGGAGGGGAACAGATAACGGGAGAGGAAGAACGCGCATCCGGTCTTATCGCGCTCGTTTCCGAACGGAATTAAAGGCCAACTATATTAAAACGTCGGAGATTCATGAGTTTGAGTATCAAAGAAGCTTTATGCTTTTAGCGCTGGCTAGTCTCGATAAGCTCGAGCACGTATGTAAGGTACCATTGTGAATAAAAAAATTACGTAAACGGTCTTACAAAAACATGTGTTTAACTCGAAAATTTATTTATTAATATTATATAATTATATTTCAAATTTTAAATGTTGCGTGTTTAAAAAAAATTCACTTATATATGAATCTCTCCCTTGGTTTTTTTTTTATTAAAATCCATAAGCGTTCAATTATCGCGAAAGCTGCTACGATTTGATAAAATCTTAAAAAGCATAGTGAATTATAGTTTAACTTTTGCGTCGAAAAATGTTTTAAACGCGCAATTTTTTCGACTTGATAAAATTAACATTGTCATATTCGCTAATATGAAATTCTATTATATATATTTGGAATCTTATGTAAGCTAATATATATACATAAGATTCTATTTTCTGCTCGAAACTGGATAATTTATCGTGCCTCGGAGTATTCGCAAAAATTTTGCGATAATGTTGCTCTAGACGAATTATTATGGTTCACGGTTCAAGACGTCTCGCAAATATTCCGAAATTCTTTCTTCTTATCGGTGTGTATAATCAAAACTTGTTAGCGCGGCGATTTTCGTTGGTTATACGTATCTATACCGCAGAGAGGAAACTGATATCGGAGGAAGAACTTATCCGGTCTTATCGTCGACGTTTCCGACTGGTTAAAAACTCTTTACGCCGCGCGATGCTGCCAATTCGTGCATTTTGTCGTCTAATATCACGCTTTTTGCTTTGCTCGCTCGATTTAAAATTAGGAAATGAGGAGAAGCTTGTGCTTCGTCAATATACATATACCAACTATAAATAACATTCCAATATAAGTTTATATGTCTGTAGAATTATTTTCGCATATGCGACCGCGCGTGCACTTTATTGTTGATTAGTACTTTTTTTGCAGCATTATAGTTATTTATCTACACTAAAGCATCTGTCAAAAAAGAATATACGTATAAAATTGTAAAAAAGCGTGCATATATTTCTCTAAAAATTACTATAGATAATTGTACAAGCGTAGAAACTTTCAAGCTCAAAAAAGAAGCTACGAAACGATCTTTTTTTTTGCGCGCAATAACTCGCATTAGTGATTCGATAAAGGTGCGCGCGCGTGTTGGTGTAATACGCGGATGCGTGTCGTACAATCATCGCGCCGTCATCGATTCATTTATCGGAAATTTTCTACAAACTCCTTTCATTTTACGCGCGGCACGATCGACTCGGCATTCATTTAATCGTTACCGGGAAAATCCGCAAAGGCGGTACACCCGCGAACGAACACGAATATTATCGAGAGAAAATTACGATCGGATCGAGATACGCGTACACTGTCTTTCGAATCGCTGGAACGTTTTACAAAATTTTCAAATATGGAATATCGCAAGACACGCATTTGTATCGATCGCATGATTCAATCGCGCGGATGAAATCATCCGCGTAAATTCAATTATCCGCGTGTGAAACAAGAAACTGAAAGGCAATAAAAAATCAATGTACACATGTGCGTTATCGGAACGTTTCGAAATTACATTTCAATTAATACATATTTCCAAACAATTGTCACATTCGCGATTATTAACGCGGGCCACATTTTTATAACCAAGTTTCGACTGTTAGAAAACGATAAGCATCCAGGATGAGAGCCGAGAAGGGAGTCATCCGCGGCGGTCATCCCGCGGTTGAACAGTCGACGTACAGTCGAAGCTCACCGGCCGCTCGACGAGCGTTTCGCGAGCGCCTTATCTGCGCGACGCGGCTCGACGCGGCTCGGCTTGGCCGGCTAAAAGCTTTGACCTATGGCAGTCGGTCGACGATAGCCGGCCCGCGCATTCCACTTCGAGCGCACCCTTTCTGAATGGCCCGCCTGTTTCTCGACGCCACGACAAGCGAGAGCCGCTACTGCCTCTATAACTCTCGAATAGTAGGTCCTCACAGAGCGAGTCCGGCTTTTAAGGAGAGAATGAATAAATTTACGATGATTTACAAATGAAGCATGTAATGTATCTTTCGTCAATCGAATCTAAAGGTATATATAAAAAATAAAATTTGACACGCGAAAGGCAGTCATTCCAGTTTAGCGAAGGCTCATCTGGAGTACGCGCATTGCGAATTAAATCGATTCGAGAAATGTGGGAATTCCGAGATTTCGAGAATCGATACGATCGAAGCTTGTCGAAGCGCTTGCAGCAGCTTATATCAGGGAGACGACGAAGCGAGGCAAAGAGCGACCGATAACGGGCAAACTGAAGGAAACTCGCACTCACGATTAATGATCTCGCGATATACGCACGATTCTCGGAAGGCAAACTTGATAATCGACGCGACTCGAAAGTTGAACGCGCCGAGAGTCTCGGATCTATTCTTCAATTATAGCGGCACCGCCGCTCTCGCAATCAGATGAACACGCAAAGTATAATCAATGGCAACGACATTTCGAATGTAGGCTCCAATACGGGAGTGGTTCTCTCAGATAGTCCAAGAACTGGAGAGTTTGCTCTCGGAGACTAACGCCTTCTCGGTCCTTCCTCTCCTTCAAGCTTCAGAGTATTCGATTTTCATCTTGAGAATTGTACATCTTTTTCGGTATTGTCGACAGCGTTATAACGTAATCGAATCGCTAATTTTTTGCTCTTGCGTTCGATTGAAAAGCGTGAAAATGAAACTGGAATTGTCCGAGTAAAGGCAACGACGTGCGCTCGAACGAGACTCTTCTGGTTCTTTTATACCGTGGGCGCTGCGCGAGTGGGTTGGTGACCACCGAATCGAGAACTTGGCGGCCCACTCGTACCGCGTTCGCCCACGTGGAAACCAAACCTCTCTTGGCGTAGGTAGGTGCTGACCCGACGACGCCTCGCTGTACTTTGCCGTCGTTAACTCAACCACACATTCCTCAGATTTCTTTGCTTTTCAGAAACTTATCGGGAGAGATTAAAAGTGGAATTACTTGGAGCGGTGTAGATGAAACACTGCTGCTATTGTCGAAATCTTAATTATCTCTTCTTAAAGATACTTTACTCGAGCGTCTTTGAAAAACTTTAGCCCTTTGGAGAAATACTTCATGAAAGGAGTCTAAAGATAAAAAGAAATGATGGATATAAAGGATAGTTAAAGGATAGTTTGTAAGGAAACTTGCCATCTTAAAGAAATATCTGCGCGCGTGTGTCTAACACGGCGTTGTTGGTTTCAGGTGGGGATGAAGCGCGTGTCGCGAGGGCGAGAGGAAGCGGACGCGGAGCATTACCGAGCCCCATCCTCGCTAATGGAACGTCCTCGTCGAGAGTGCCACCACCTCGCGCGGGCTGGGCAGTGCGGATTACCGAGGCGACACTTATTCCAACGTCAAGTCAGAGTCCATCGGTTCCAGGTACACCGTCGACGACTGTCGAACGATGGGCTAGCGAGCGAACGCCACCGGTTTGGACGGGTCGTGCCACAGCGTCATTATCACCATCGTTGTCAGCAGCAGCAGCAACGGGAGCAACGGTATCAAACGCGCAAGAAGGATCGTTCTTCGCGGCGGATCGAGGAGCCGGGGGACCAGCTGGCGCAGCTGGCATCCGTCTCGAGCATCGTCGGATCGAGGAGAAGGAGGAGCTGGAGGCGACGAAGAAGGTGGAGCAGCGTCACTTGGAGACGTCAGCGACGCATAGCCCAGGAGCAGCAGGTCATCTTGAACTGAGCGGTCGGCCGATGTCGCGTAATAATGCGATGCGGTCGCATTCGCGGCCTCCTGCCTCGCGAACGAACATTGCCGCGGCCGCTGGCAATGACGATTGTGTCGGTAGCGCCGGCGAGGACGCGGATTCCCGCCTCGTCTCCGCCGAGGTTCCTCGCGTGCACGACCACAGTCGACCGTTTCCGCCGCCGCGGTTGCCGCCCGTGCACGCGGTAACGTCGGTACCATCCGTGCCACCGCCGCCACCTCCGCCGCCTCCGCCGGCGTCGGAGAACGTAACGATGACGTCGTCGTCGGCACCCGGGTCGCCGACGTTTCGGGTAGCGGCGCCCTTTACCATGTCTCTGACGCCGCCATCGAGTTCCTTTCGTAGCAGGCCGTCGTCTTTGCGTCGCCCGCGGAACGTCGAGTCACCGGGCGACGCAAATTCCAGGAGTCTGCTGTCGCCTTCGTCCACGTCGTCGACGACGACGACGACGACGACGACGATCGCCATGTCTCCCAGAAGTCCCATCGGCGAGGTGACGCTCGCCGCGCCGCGACCAGACGGGGAGAGGACCATCAACGAGTACGTCGAGGCGCCGTTCACGCCGTCGCGATGCAGTCAGGAACGACGCCTCGACGCGGACAGCAAGACCGTCGGCGATTGTCCGAAGGGCGACAGGAGGCATCATCATTCTCATCATCATCATCATCATCATCATCATCACCACCATCATTATCGGGGTCACGAGGATGCAACGGTAGTACCGACTCATCGAGCGCATGGCCGCGCGAGGAATCGGGGCTCGCGCGCCACGACGACCGGCGCCTCTGTCGCCACGTCAGCGGCGGATACAACGGGAGAGAGCATCGTCACCAAGCAGCCGGTGTCCTTCACCAAGGAGCCGGCCAACGCTCTCGGCGCGAGGACTTACGATCCGGCCGGTCTGTCCATCATTTGCGACTTTTGCGGCAAATGCCGATGCGAGTCGTGTCGGGAACCACCTCCGCTGCCCAGCAAGTGGATCTGCGATAACAAGTGCCTGTGCTCGGCCGAGACGGTTTTGGACTACGCGTCTTGCCTGTGCTGCGTCAAGGCTCTCTTCTATCATTGCGTGGATGGCAGTAACGGCGGTGGCGTCGCCAGTGGCATCGACGACGAGATGACGACGAGCTGCGCCAACGAGCCGTGCTCCTGTACCGGTAACCGCAAAGCTTCCAGATGGGCCTGCTTGAGCTTTCTGACGCTCTTGATGCCCTGTCTGTTGTGCTACTGGCCCTTGAGAGGCTGCGTCACTCTTTGCGAGTCGTGCTACGCGCGTCACGCCGCGCAAGGCTGCCGATGTACGCCGAACGCGATTGCCGGTGGCGGCAGGCATCATCCCATCACCAGCGACATTGGCGACTCGAGGGATCCGGAGAAGAGGCTGCTGGATCCGGTCACGCCGGAGCTCTGAGCGGAAATTTTCAGAGATGACGCGCGCCACGTGTTCTCCGCCCGCTATCTCTGTGACTGAAGGAAGCAAAGATTGAACTCGAAATATATATCTAGAGGATCCCGCTGACGGGGACGGCATGTGCGAGGGAGTGTCGGAGGGAGCGAAAGTGAATCGCATCAAGTACAAGAGCTGCATTTAAATCGAGAACGATATCGAGAATTTTGTCGAACTTGTACGTTTAACGCGTCGCGAATGTCTTTATTTATTATTCTTCCATGAACGAACAGTGCGCGCGTGCACGTATTATAGTATGCTTCTACATGTGCGAAAGAGAGAAGGAGTGTGCGTATGCGTGGAGAAAAGGAGCGTGTGTAAACGAATGAGTGACCGTACGTGCGCATTTACACGTTTGTATGCGCATTGCGAGCGATAGAGAAAAATGAGGTATACGCGAGCTAGCGTATCGTCCAGACATACCACTCTTACGCATAGATAACTCTATAATATAATGAATTATACGCATTGTACCACGCGCAGAGCAAAATTCAACGAACGGTAATATATCGGGGTTTGGGGCAGGGGGGAGGGGGGATTACAGAGTAAATGAAAAAAGTTAAATTTATATATATATATATATATATATATATATATATATATATATATGTATACATATATATATATAAAATGTATATTGTATATTACGTTTGTATAAAGAACAAACTTTTCTACGGTTAATTTATTTGCGGCTGTAACGCTAAGTGTATGGTTCATGATATAAAGTGAGAGGCGATTGATACAATTGAGGCAAGGGGAGGGGGAAAGCGTAAAAGCGTAATTGTATATTGTATATCAATAACGCATGGACCAATATGGCCGCTGAGTGAAATCCGCTAATGTAACAAGAGTTTTCTAGTGATAAAGGAGACGGAAATTGTAAAACAGAAAAGGAGGTAGAGAAAGAGAGAGAGGCAGAAGGAGAAAGAGAAAGAAAATGAATTACATCCATTTTTCTTTGTTTTTGCTATATAATTTATATGTCTTGTAATATTTATAACACAAATTGAGAACGTGTATTACGAGAAAGCTATATCGATTAGATTACGTTGATTATGTCGATGCAATTGTACGAAAATGTGTTTGAGAGGAACAACTAGCAGGGAGAGGAATGGAGAAGGAGGGGGCGAGACGGAAAATAGCGGAGGCGCGCGCAAATTGTCGCGAGGAGTCTCGCGTTTTCATTTCGTTGATGTGTTTTCTCTAGTATTATCTAGTCCTGCGAACATTCTTTTTCTCAGCGTTTGTCTTTTAGGGCACAGATCACATATACATATGCACATGACACACACGCGGGAATGGAATCGCGAGAAAGAGGAAGCCGCCCCCTTTCTCTCCTTTCGTCTACCGGATTTCGCTCGCTATAAATATAGACTCAAGATCGGTAACGTCGCAGACAAACTCGCGCTCGCTTTTCTCGCAGGCAAATCGCAAACTCTATTTTCTCTCTTTCTCTCTCTTTCTTGCGAGGCAGGTAGCGGCAAATGCGACTGATATGCGCAAAACACTAGAACTGCTACCAAATCCTGGATAAAATACAATGTACAGTGTGGACACGTTTATATGTATTTTTGCAAATTTTTGTTGAAATTTTTATCAAAAGATTATTTCAACGTAGTGCAAGTTTGGCGGTTCCGGAGACTCAGTCAGGCACGTTAATCAAGAGGGATGAAAAGTGAGCATCGAGCCCGTGTCAAAGATATGTGGTTCTAGTGTTGAGCGCTATTTACGACAATTTTGCTCCGTTAAAGTTCATCCGCGTTAGATTTGATCGAAAGAAATTCAAGTATGGCGACTGGCTTTTTCTCTTTCAGAGCGATATTCCTCAGAATAGAGTATCCTCGCGCGGTTCGGAAGAGGCGATCGATCAAAGCGAGAGTCGCATGACTCGCGCGATTTTAGCATTTCAGCGCGAGGCGTGGGCGAATGATGTGTGCGAATGTACGATGATCGGGTGTAACTGGACTGAGATTGCGCGGATAAATAATCGCGAGTGGACGAAGACGAATCGAGAACAGCTCATGCGAGAGGAAGCAAACATCGTTGCACGAGCTTGATATTTAGAGCACACGTTTTTTCTTCCGGGAAGAGAAATAACTCGGAATAATTGTTGAATCTTTTCGGACTAAAATTATTCGAATTATGTAATTTCTCACTGTAATTTTTTTTTACCGTTTATATTATCCTTTCATAAAAAGTTGCAGAGAGTGAGAGTGTGGCACAATTTTTAAAGAATGTAAAAGACTGCGAGAAAAAAATTGTATAAAGATAATTTGATTGTCTGGAAGAAGAAATAGTACGATCAAGTTTCGGAATCGACTAGTGGCGAGTAATTTTGATGCGAAACGCAAATACGACTGTGCGTACGTCTCTGCATGTGCATCGATTACTTATGGGCGATAATTGCTATATAATTTCGGATTTGTTCGCGAGCGTGAGTTTTATCCCGCGAGAGATGGCACAGCATTTCTTTTTTCCAACTCTTTCTCTCGATGACTCGCTCACCCTTTTTACGAAGGGCATTGAGACAACGGCAATAAGGAGTAATCGGAGGGGAGGTATAGGACGAAAAGAATGTGTAAGCCTCGATGCGAGAACGACTAGACGATGGGAAAAAACGTAACGAGGTTTTTCATGTAAGACGAGTGCGACGAGAGAGACCAAACTGTTGAACATACTAAAGCGAGACGAGCTTCCGTCCTTTCACGACTCACAAGTCGTTGAGCGCAATATCCAGACGATCTTTGGACGATCTTTCAATCTCGGAATCTCTTAATCGCGGTTTAATCGATGCTCTTTCTGGTTCTAATTCAATCTAGATACTAGAAATGAGATTTGCGTATGCACATTGTACAAAATATTTTATTTCGGGCGCTTTTATTTTTAACGCGTATAAAAATCGCGAAATGGACAAGATTTATTGCTGGATTCGAATTGAAATCGCGACTCGCAGACATTCGCCAAAGACAACAATGCGATTGCACACCGATTGACTAGTGAAGGCGCGAAAGGACACGAAGGCGTGAATGGAACGCGAGTGTACGTGTATATGTCGTGTGTATGTTGAGCTTGTGTGTATGTATGTATTTACCGTGTGTAGGTGTTTGTATGCGCGCATGCGGGTGCGTCTTAAGCGAGAGAAAACAAGTTTTTATTAATATTAAGTCTCTATACGATCTGTATATGTCTTGTAAATATATATATATACATATATATATACATATATATATATACATGCATAGACTATGTATATACTTGTGCATTTATATATTTAACCAATCACCATTCTCCCGTATATCAACACTAATTGTAATTTATCTGAATTTTGTTCCCTCTTCTCCCCCCCGTATATTCAAAATCGTCCGAGACAACCGTTCTAGCTCTTGGAAGGGGGGAGGATAGCAACAAATAAAGAAATGATATTTCTTTTATCCGTGTAAAGCTCAAGGATGCGTTAATTTTAGTCATTTTATATCATTGTATATCGTTGACTTTTTGATTCATTTTATATCATTGACTTTTTGATTCAGTCATTTATTTGTATTCAGATACATGACCAAACTAAACAGTTATATATAAACTTTGTGACATCTTACAGATGGAGAACGGTAACTTTTAAAGAGAACAAGCGCGACAGATGAAATATAAAACAAGAATCCATCACACTGGATATATTGGATCTCGTTTCTTTTCTAGTCCATCACGTGTATTACGTCCAGAAAAAAAAAAAAGAGTATCTTTTTCAAATGTCCTTTCGTCATCCAATCGAGAACGCCGAGAGTTTGCTTCTGAAGCCGCTTCTGAGCGTGTTTGCTTTGCAGCCGATCTCGACAAGGCGATCGTTACCGAGAGGTCCCGGATCATCATTAGCGGGCAATTGAATGCATCGCGGCGCGCGGCGAAGGAAGCGAACGGATGTGAGTCCGTTAGCTCGCGAGACGTGCAGCTCTGCCATTCGTTGCAGCCTCACGAGTTTCTCGATATAAAATCTGACATAGCGGTTTGTAAGTGTTAACGGTGGCAGATTGTAATATTACACGCTCGTAATTAATAATTATCCTACACGCGCGAAACAAATCTGAAACAACTTGCCATCCTACATACATGTATATAGATTGTTTTACTATTAATTGTCGATTTTTTTATCAAGAATTGGGATGGATATTTCTTTAGATGAATGATTTTCACACAACAGCACATGTGAGATACGCAAAGGGGGAGAGATTGTTGTCGTTTCCGACACAAAAATGTATCGTCTAATAATATTCCTCTCGATTGATGGCCCGTAACGGGGTCCTAGGTTGAAATTTATCGATCGACAAAGTCAAAAGCTTCCTTCGGAGCTGACAAATTCGTTAACGAAAGTCGAAAAGCAGCCGTCCATCTGTTTCGTGACCGATTTGCGACGTCGCGCGTTAATCGAAAAGAGGGAGACGAAGAGGAAAGGGGCGTGGAGAGGTCCGGACGACGAGCCGAAAATAAGAAGAGAGCAAAGTGGTCGGCTGGTCCAGTGGTGTCATGTGACCGGAAGTGGCATTCCTTCTTCGCCTCCCTGCCGTCGTCTTCCACGAAACCTCGAGGAGCCTGTACCAGGTCTCCCTCTTCCATCTCTTCTCCCCTCCTTCTCATCCCTCGCCGTGCTCTGTTACTTATCCCTTCCTCCACGCTCGAACGAACGCAGCAACAACGGAAGATTGCCCTCTCTTAGCGACTCGTTAAGCATGTCAAAAGAGACATCGGGGCATCACGAGGGACGTCGACAATGGATTTCCGCGTTTAAAGCGCGATGTCGAGATACCATGAAAATCATACGGGCGAATCTCCTTTTCTTTTCTCACATGTCCTAATTGACAAGTTTAAATAAAATGGAGAATAGTCGCGTCAAGTCGTTGTCAATAGGTCTGTCATTCCTTTCAGTCGCCCTATATTTCTTTTATATGCATTTTTCTTTCTTTAGAAAAGAGAAATATTTACATATACATATATATAGAGTTGAAGAAAAAGTGTAAAAAATGCAAAAAATGCGACTAAAATGGTCAAAATTTTTAAGGACACAGCGCGCGATATTTTAAGTAGTTCATTATATTTTCTTTACATTTTTTTACGCTATATAATAATAAAATAAATATTTATTCCAACAGAATTGAGAGAAAATATTGTAATACATATTACATGGAAGCATAACTTTCTCTTAAAGAAATAGTTTATATTTAAATAATCTATCATTTTCTGTGACTTAAAAATGAACGTTGCATTTATATATATGTTTTCTTTAGAGCCGCTAAATTGCAGAATGACTTTAATCTGGTTTCAAGATAGTGAAATGGAAGCCAGCAAGATACAATATTTTTCATTTTTCCCTTTTTAAATATCATTAATAACATTGATATATCGAAATAAAATTTTACTTCCTTTCGGGTTATCAGAACGATATTTTATGTTCTCATAGTGAAATATCGAAATTAAATACCGTGACAATTATATCCGGACCACGAGATACCGTAGTCATTCTTTCATTTCTAAGCGTCAATAAGTGATTACGATTATCGATTCTCGCTTCTTTTCGAAAGGAATTGGGGCAGAGGAGGACAAAAATAGTCGTTCTCATTTCGAGAGATAGCAAAGGACGCGAAATCGGCGATGCGCCGATGCCGTGCACCTTGTTCCCGCTATTCAAAGGTCGCTACGTGCCACCGCACGGCCACACCACTGTCACGGACAAAGACCTTCGACGAGTCCGACTCTCCGACGCGGATGTCACCCGCGGCGACAGTGGTGGTGGCGGCAGCGGCGGCGCGTCGAGCGAGTGGACACGAGCCTAATTTTAGGGGTCCGCGCTGCGTCCGAAGAGAGGAAGAAGGCCGGGAGTCGCGACGGCCAAGCGGAAAGAAGGAGACGTTTTTCTCGAGCTGAGAGAGAGAAAGAGAGAGGAGGAACTCGCGCACGGTCGACGTCAGCGCGTGATGTTTTCGCGACGGAGCCGGCCGCGCGAGTGTTCTATATTAAACTTCGGGCGGACGCGCGGGCAGACCTATTGCGCGAAACGGACGCTCTGATATTTTCGTTGCATCGCGCGAGTAACTGCTTCCGGTCGAGTTGTTCTCTGTCTTTCCCCCTGTCGAGTCCCCTCTCTCTTTTTCCCCTCCCTCTTCTCCATCTTTTTAGCTCTCTTTCTATGTCGTTCTCGCCACCAACTCGTCATCGTCCCGTCTCTCTTCTTTTCTTTCTTTCCTTCTTCTCCCCTCTGATTCTATCCTGGCTCGACCGTCTTCTTCTGGATCGACGGGCGCAGGCGGCCGTGCTTCTTCAGCCGGCCGGAAACACCTACGCACCCGCTGGAAGCGTGTGAGAGGGCTATAAGGTGGGACGGAGGCAATGGGATAAGCCTACTCACGAGAGATTGCTGTCGTCGACGACCTCCTTGTTTCTTGCTCTTATTGCGTTTCTCTGTCTCCTCTTCGCTCCACCGTCCAGTTTGCCTTCTCTCCTTGTTCTCCTCCTCGTCTTCCTCTCTCTTCTTTCCATCCCCTCTCCCTCCTCCTCCCCGTATCTCTCTCTCTCTCTGTCGACCCGTACGATGGAATTCACCCAAGTTTTTTTACGCTCGCGAATAAACATCACCGTGTGGTGGTGAGAAGGCAGCCCAACCCAAAAGCCGATCAGTTCTCTCCCTCGGCTCTTCTCCTCTTCCTTCCTCTTTTCCCCTTGATATTTATTTTCTACTTGTCCCGGGAGAGAGAGAAACACATGCAATGGTGTTTATAGTGAAATACAGAGAAGCAAAGCTTTTCTGCGCGGAATCTAGTCAAAGTCTCCAAGAGCGGGATCCAATCGCATTCTCTTCGACACCCAAACTTGAAATCTATCCAATTCAAAATTGATAGATTGAGATTTATATAAGAGCATGTAAGAGAGAAAGAGAGAGAGAGAATTTTTTTACAAAGTTGTTAACAGAGAAATATTTTTATAACAAAAAAAAACTTACAAATGGAAAATTTCTATAATACATATATGAAATACATATAAACAAAAGTATGATCTTCTCAAAAATCAAGCCATATAAGGGAACAATATACATATAGTTTAATTCTATTACAAGACATTATTTTTTCAGTAAAAATTTCGAGTAGAAAAAAGGATCGATTATAATTTCATATCAACAGTATAGAATTAAATGATAAAAATAATTATAATGTTTCAGTTAAATAATGAGATTACATATATACAAAATATTTTTTACATGTAAAATATTTTTTCATATAAATTCATCTGTTTTAATTTTTTTCTAATCTATTTTTTAAAACAAAAAATCATGAAAATATATTGACAATGCAACATTTATAAAAATCACTAACATTACCAAAGAGATGTATATGTGTGAATAACATAACATGATTTTTAAGCTTATTTAAAAATCATATCATAGGACATATTAAATTTTTCTTTCTGTTGATTATAGAGTTATGTAAATAATATATAGTTTTAATAGAAAAGATACAAGATGTTATTGAACTAGTTAATTTAACAGTTTTGCTTGAAAAGTTTTTATTATAAATCCTTTGAAAAAAAAATATAATAGTTAAATGTGACAAAGATAGGAAAATTAAAATACTGACCAATCGTGATGGAATCTTGACACTGATTTACACAAAAGCAAAAATATAACTTTCTTGCTTTCTTGTTTTCGTTTCTTAAATTGTTTATACATATTCGAAATTTTTATGCTCAAATTAATAATCTGTACAGCAAATTCCTAATTAATGTTCATCAAGAAAAGAATGTCATAAAGTAAAAACTTTAGCACAAGCCTTATGTGATGGAATTGTCTGCCGTAGGTTCATCAAATTGTGTTATTTTTCCTTCAGTCAAAGTTTTATTCTGGTCAGTTGTATCTTCAGTTAATGTAGGTCCTTGTTTTTCAGATATTATCAATTTATCATATCGGCTTCCAATTAATGGTAAATGAGGTGCTATTGCACTTGGCTCCAAAAAAAGTGTTGGAGAAACCTTAATAGAAGAAAAATATTTTTAGCTTCTATATATGAAATTTTCATAGTAATATATGAAATAGATGAAAGATATTATCCTAGCAATACAATAAAAGTTATTTTTGTAGAATATTTATTATTTATTCATTGTACGAATTATAGACTTTAATTATCATCAGTTTTCAAATTAGATAAATAATTTGGGAAATGACATGCAAAATGAAAATTATATAATGTTAATGTTCTTAATCTACTGTTAATATCTTGAGCTTTGATGATATTCTTAATAATCTAATTTAAATTATATAAATAATAATTGTGTCATAAATATATAGTGTGTGTGTATATATATATATATATATATATATATATATATATACATATATATTGTATTACTTACTCGAATATCTTGAACTTTAGCTTCCCGTGATGTAAACTCGCGTAATAAGTAATTTTTGCCAAATTCATGATAAATACGAGTATCATTTATCCTCAGCATTACATTATCAATTCTCAGAAAATATCGTAATAATATGAAGAAACTAGTGGGCATAACTCTCTATGTACGATAAAAAAGAAATTATTACAACTTTATTGAACATTTGATATTAGAAAGTTGTATATGTGAGTATACTTACAATTTTGACCGAGTTTACTGCAATACCATTGTCATGAAGTTCATCTTCAAATAGTGTTAAATCATGATAAAACATAATCTTATCCCTCTGCCTTAATTTATCCATATCAATTCTCTCATTTGTTTCTTCAACTTCAAAGCCTGTTATCGTACCAGTATAACTGGTGGTAAATGTCCAATCAAACGGTTTTATTTTCTCTTCCAAATATTCGCTACTTTCCGATCTATTAATATATATAAATATACACAAATTATATACAATAACAATCATAAGTAAAATTACAAAAAAACAAATTAAGTAAGAATTTGACTAAAGTCATATATAATTATTGACATACCTAGATTCTTTCCATGCTTCTGCGCAAGCAAGCTGTATATTAATCTTTCCATTAGAGACATATCTTAAAGAATCCAAAGCATTGAATTGCAGAAACGGTCCTTCCTGATGCATCAGAGTTAATATGTTATTGGGAAATACCATATCCGGCATATGCGGCAATTCTAACGCATTGTTATATCTAAAATATTAAGAAATTACTTTCCAGATATGTCTCTATATTACATTTTTAAATAATTTAAATATTGATATAATGATGAACGCACACGCAAAACTGACAGGCAATCTCGTTATTGGAACCACAGCCACTTTCGCTTTTTGAACACTTAGAATGTAATATATGAGATTGTGTATATTTGATACGCCATGGAGGGCAAATATGTTCTTCTTCGTTTACCGGTAATCTTAGAATATCGATACCACCATGCACTTTTATAGCAGTCATTATCTAAAATTAAAAAAAGTTTTTGTTATCTCGAGTTAATCTGATTTGGCTGATAGGTTATATGATTATTCAATAAGATCTTAATATATCCTAGATATTTACAATCGTTTTTATTTTTCATAATAAGATAAGAATCAAGAATATGTATTATTTTAGACATATGCAATTAAAATAAAATTAATTAGTATTAAAATATGCTACTGAATATATACATGTATATATTTTACTTACTAGGTCAAAAAGTAGGGTTCAATTTTACTTTTTTGTAATCGAATAAATTTGTCAAGAAACATTGGCGTTTCAATCTGTAACAGTTTGTATTTACACCATTACATTAATCGACACCATTTTCACATACCCAGTGACAATTTTCTGTGAAATGTAACTTGTCTCGTCTCCCTTTCTCATTTTGGTTCAAAGAAATAATTGGGTATAAATTTGGAAATCAAATGGGAAGAACGACATAGCGTGAAACTAGAATTTCTCGAATGAGAGTTGAGCATGACGATTTTTGATTGGTGCTTCGCTCATCCGCCATATGTAATGTGAGATGCGTTCGAGAATCTAGTTGTCAGAGTTGGATAGATTTTTGAACATAATTGTAAAGCGCGATTGGTTATCGTTGAAGTGTTAACAATATGGAGTATTTTTTTATATTTGTCTCTTTTCAAGAAACATATATTGGCCGCATTCAGCTGACAGTTGGGCAACATTACTAGATTTTCCGATGTAATTCGGCGCTGATTGGTCGGATCTGAAAGTAGGAACCAATCATATTCGATTGATACTTAGCAATCGAATCCGCTGAATGCGGTCAATGTCACGTGATTAGCTATCAAACAGAAAAATTTTGGGGACTTAAATGTTTTGACAATTGCGTGACAATTTGTCTACTTGTGTTTTCTTATCAAAAAGCATCCATATTTATATATGTCCATATCACTTTAAATAAATCACTTAATTACGCAATTAATTAGAATTTATTAGAATTGATTACAGTTCAAATTTCATAAATTTCGAAGTAACAAGTTGGAAATATTTCTAACACTCTATGTAAGTATTAACTATATAAACTTATGACTAATTTTTATTTGTCTATAATTTTACTTTATTATAATTTGTGTTTCGTTTCCGTTATTATTGTAAAATATCAACATTGCACGTGAATTAAATAGTGTTAAAACATAACATTAACCTTTACTGTAATTTACTATAAACAGAGAGTTGATCAGAATTAAAATAACATAGTACAACTAAGTAAGATTAATGTCTGTCTTTAAAGATTATTAAATTTTGCATTGATATAAATTCCTCTTGATTTATAGTACCTTCGTTCGTTTGTTTTTATATAATGTGTTTTGCGTTTTAAAATTATATAACCGGTGATGTAGTATTTTATTTTTTTTAATTTTATACTTTATAATCTCTTAGTATCGATAAACGTTTGTAACAATACACTTATCCATAAGAAATAACATAAATACATCTAGTTAAAAAAATATGTATATATATTGATATAAATATTTCGAAAATAATTTTATTGTAGTCTGGGAGAAATATTTTTCTGAGTAATTTTTTTGAATATTTTATATTAGAAATTTAATACATTCGTTAGACAAAAATTCTTTTTCGTTCCTTCATTTGTCACTTGTCTCTTTGCGTTTTAAGTTTCTTTGCAAATATTATGTGTGCGTTGATATTGCATTATGGTTTGCAGTGCACGATATTCCGGATACCGCATGCAGTTCGAAATGCAGAAAGAATCTCGACTCGAAGATCGCCGCATAGTGTGCCGATCAGTCTTCTCCGAGTGTTCGACGCGTTTACGTCGTTCGCGGAAAACACGTGGGCGCACGGACGAAATGACAAACGACGACTCATCCGTCGAACTCGGCGTCGCGATGGATGGTAAAGATGCTAAAGGATTCTTCAAGGAACAAACTGTACGGAGGATCAAGTCGATCGCCGGTCACGCGGGCTTGCTAATCACTCTGATGCTCTACACCGCGATCGGCGGACTGGTAAGTTTTAAAATATAAAAATATACAATTGAAAATATGCAACTAATGTTTAAATTAATTTGACGAAAGAAAATGGAGAACAGAAGGAGAAACTGGAAATAATAGATTCTCTATAAAGTCTTTAAAATTGGGAATTTTGAGAAATTTGCAAACATCTTTCTTATATTGAGCTTATAAAACTGATCATTTATTTTCTTTCTACTTTATGTTCTCCGTTTTTTTTTACGATTGATTCTAATCATAATGTTTAATTTTCGTTTAGTCTTTGAATATTTTTAAGAAAAATTAAATTATATGAAGTTCGTAATAAAACAAAAAAGAGAAGCGCAAAATGCAGTACGTTCTCGCAAGGTGTTCCGAAATAATCTGTGCGTCCGCGAATTTTCGTCTTGAGAAACATCGAGATTTTCCAGCGTGGAGTTAAATGTATATATTCAATGTTCCATAAATATTTACATTCTATACAATAACGAACGCATTTGCAACCTACCAAATGTTATACCTTTATTTTTAGCAACGAACTAATCGTGCGGCTCAGTAGGAAGTATATTACCTGATGTCTTTCAATAGTCTGGTAAAAATACTACGCGTTGAAATTCTCGATGGTTACGATTTTTTGAGTGCCTCATAATATCTAGCCGCAAAAATAGCTGTATATATTTCAATCGACAAACGATTCTTAATAAGCTCGAGTTAAAGAACTTATGTTTATAAATTTCTCATATAAAAAGGTGTAAAACATTAATTGCAATACACACATACACCCACACAAAGCAATTTATTCTAACAGTTATAATTAATAATTTAATTTTATTAGTAAAATTTTTTTTGTGAAAATAATTATAATAATAATCGAAAGAAATAATATATTTTTACTTTACAAAATCATTTTCGAATAAACATTTTATGTGTTGTGATTTCTTACAAGCGAAAAGCTAATTTCAACATTAATTAACAGCTGACGGAAATTCATTAAAGATCGATTTAAGGCCAGCATGAAGAATTATTGTAAAAGGATATGCTCGCGATAAATGTGCACATCTCGATTCGATCTAAAGTGTATCTAGCACTTGAAACTCGAGAGTAATATCTATGCAATCTGGATCTGTTGATTTATCATTAGCTTCGATTGTTCAGACAAACGTAAGAGGATGTCGCTGTACATATATAAGATTAATTTGACATTACAAGCTCAAGTATGCGTATCTTTAGATATAACTTGTCGCATAAGATTGTTTTCCTGAAAATAAATAATTTTGAATCCACTTCTCCCTCCAGGTATTTCGACAGATCGAACTTCCAGCGGAGCTCGGGCGGCTCGAACGTTTGCGCGCAAAATTACGTATGCAACGATATCGTTTCGTCGAGTCCATTTCCAACAATACGGATGTCTTCAATTTGCAAACCTTGGTGAGAAGCTCGGTGATCAAAAATATACTACAGAGTATTATCGTTCCCGAGTATCTCGTTCATTCACCATGACATTGCTCTTTTAGGTAAGCGTGAAATTGCGCATCTACGAAGAAGCTGTCCAGGAAGCGGCTCAAGCGGGTTTCTTGGTCAATTTTGTAACGGATACCATGAATCATGAGGATACTCACTCTGAATTGCCGCCCATCGTAACCGAAAGGTGGAGCGTTCTCCAAGCGGTTTTCTTCGCCAGCACCGTTCTCACTACGATTGGTAATCGTCCTTGATTACTATCAAAGAATTTATTATTTCTTGATAAGGTAGAAATCTCTTGATCTCTTCGACCTTTCATTCTGAAAAATCAACGTATTCAACGTACTCATGTCGTTACATAACATCTCAAATTTGAATATTAAATATTTTTGCATCCATAGTCCTTTTTTCAATTTTGTTTATAATTTATATTCAACAGGATATGGCAACGTCGTGCCCTCGACTAATTGGGGAAGGATTTTCTGCATCTTTTTCGCTCTCATCGGCATACCTCTCACCTTGATCGTGATCGCCGACTTGGGAAAACTATTTGCGAGGGGAGTGGTACATATTGCATTGATGCTAAAATTGAAACTTCCGTTTCGTACGAAACTCTCGTGCGTTCCGACAAACGTAACTGGTCGACGATCGCTCGGTAAGTTTAATTCGGAAATTTAGGTCGATTTTTAATCTGATCGATAGTTCTCTTCATATAGGAGCCTGTGCCGCTATCATGTTGCTCTTTCTATACCTCGCCTGTGGCGCCGGTATGTTTATGTTGTGGGAAGATGATTGGGACTTTTTTGATGGGTTTTATTTCTGTTTCGTAACAATGACTACCATAGGCTTTGGTGATCTTGTGCCTAGTAAGTATAAAAGATCTTTTCCACAAAATATATAAATATTATTAATTTCGTAAACTTCAATATTAGTATATTTTTATAATATTACTATATTTCTTGTCAGAAATATAGTATTTTTAATCTAACGACTAAAAAACCGATTAAAGCAAAAGCGGTTATTGTTCGGTTAAATGAATAATAATAAATAATAAGATTGTTACTATTTAAAAATGAAAGTTTGTCCGAAGGAAATGGATAATCTGAATCTATGCACTCTTCAGGGGGAGGGATCTTTATTTTAATGCAAATTACACAATGTTTGTTAACTTTTAGAGAAACCCAAATACACTTTACTGTGTACTTTGTACATCTTGGTCGGCTTAGCGCTGACTAGCACCATCATCGAATTAGTCAGACGACAATATGCTCAATCTTGGAGAAGGCTGCAAAGACTGAGTGGTCCATTAGCTGAAGCTCTCAGGAAACTCGGCGAGCAAGCAGGTGGCGACATGTCCACATTACATTCTGATTTAAGGTATTTTCTTTCATTCTTTCAATAATCAAATAGAGTGATTTTAGCAGATATTTCATATTTTGTATTATAATCTCGAATGAATCATTTAATGAATAGCTAACAAAATTTATTTGTTAAAAAATGATTTATTTTTGAGATAGCAAAAATTAATCTATCCGATAATAATATCCCATTATATTAAAATGGAAAGAATCCTATTATAATAAAATGGACGAATTAATAGAGATAACTTTTAAATCAAAAGAGAATTAATATTAACGAAATGCTAATTTCACAGGAAAGTACTGACAGTAATATCTATGCCGCGTTTGAGATGGTCTACTTCCATTGATCGTGATGTTACAAAGGACCGGGATTGGGAGGAAGCTGTGGAGGCGGTGTTGCGTGATATTGCTGCAAACGCGACAGTGCCGCCGCCCAAAAAGCCGATCGTGCAAATCGTCATTTATGAATCTAGCGTTTAATGTATCGTCAAGAATATGATACCTGGAAAGAAACTTGCTGCGTTAATTTTTGGACGCATTTTTCATACATCTCGTATCGTATATTGTCGCTTGTCTATGTGCAATTTAGCTATGGAGCTTCATATTTCGCGCGCTTTATATCGTTGTCGCGTCAATATGAAGCGGTCGATGAAAAGCTCCGAAGACGCAAGTTGTGACCGACACGACACGAGATAGCCGAGGTAGAGAAGTAGAGAGTAAAAGGAGAAGAGTACCGGTGAAGTAAATTTAGGAGTCGCAAACCTCGACCGAATCATTGTCGCGACTCTCGTCCAAAGTGTCTAGTTGGAATCATGACAGATCCCGAGACATCGCGCGAGGTGAACCTGAGAACCTCGAGTATCGTGCGCATCGCGTATCATGTGCGTATAACGATAACAGCGGGATCCGCGGCCGTTACGTAGTAATAAATTATCATTCGATACAAGTCGTTCGTAAATTTATCATGTTTTTAGATTTGACTTTTTTCTGTTTGATTTTATACAAGTTTTTATATGAAATCAGACAATTATACATGCGAAATTCACAATGTCATTAGGTGATAATACATTTTTAACAAATAAAAGATTAAGAATATATATATATATATATATATATATATATATATATATGTATAAAAAAGAAAGAGGTAGAGGAGGGATAAGTAACGTATATTTCTATAACGCTATGTATATATTAAAAGTGAATTTCAATGATAATTTTCGAGGAAAAATGTATATATACATATTTATATTATAATGTATCCTACATAATTTTTTTACGACGATGCGCGAGGCGCTCTCACATCTGTTATACCGCTTATTTTGCAGCAATTGAGCGTCATGTGCGGCACGCACGATCCTATCACGCCGACAAGCGTCAGCAATGATACGGCGGATGCGAATGCACGCAACATAACATGCACAGGTCGATTGTTGGCGCTACCGGTGTTCGCCTCCGCGTCAGCGGCACTTTGCAACGCTTACGCGGTTACGAAGAATTCACACGAGTCGGTCGCGGCAATTTTAGGCAGCGCGGAGGACGGGGTGCGTGCAGGATTGGAGTTTGCGAGTCCCGTGACCGACAAAATTGCCAATGTTTTGGAAACGCCGTTTAAGGCGATAGACAACGCGGTATGCGTCGGGTTGGATTTTGTAGAGGAGAAAATGCCCTCCGTGAAGCTGCCGCCTGATCAGATTTATGCAAGCATGAAGGACGGTCTCAGGTGATGGCCCATCCAGCTATCGAGCGATAAAGCGTCTATACACGGGGGAGATTTTCTATGCTCCGTGTATATCATGTGTCCTTTTAAATATTTTCTTATATCGGGAAATATTACATCTCTTTAAAAATTAAATTCTAAATTGCAAAATTTTATTTAAATTCAATTTGAAATTAATCGGCAAATATTATTTCGTATTACTTGCTGTCGTATTTTATCAAAAACTTGTTTAAATTTTTCATTTTCAAATGAGAAATTGAATTTCTAATTACTCAACATTTTTTTTTACGATTTCTTTGGAGAAATATTTTGAAATCGACTGAGAAATATATGATTAAAAGGACATTCGATGATTTTGAGCTACTGTAATAAATAATAGTAGATTGATCAACTTTTTTTTTGCATTATAGGAATATGTTTACATCAGCTCTAGAAACGTTCCGACTTTTGTTCGGTGGGACAAAGAATCAAATAGAAGATTTATCAGTTACGAAACAGACTGTACAAGAGGAAATTCGGAAAGTGTCTAGTTGAATAGTAAAAATGATTCGCACAATCGACGTATTTTCGCCATAAGATATCATTTGCGATATTTATAATAGAATCATTCGCCATAACGGATCATAAAGATAACATAAAACATTGCAATATCAAAGCAATCAAGATTATGACAATGGAATTGTCTTGATAGCAAGATATTTGTTCACAAATTTATATATATATATATATATATATATATATATATAATTTTTTATTATATGTATAATTATATTAATATTATTATTTAAATATAATATAATTCTTTATATGTAAATATAAGAATTATATTTAAATAACAATATATTAATAATATTAATTATAAATATATATAAAAGTCTGTATTCTCGTCTGATAAATCTGAGGTCCGATCTTGATATCTTGAAATGAAAAACAAATGAGTGACTGCAAATGGATATCTATGATGATCGAGATATCTTTGTACAAATATAATTTTGTGTTGTTACTTAAATAAATCTTATTTCTGTTTTTCAATATGATTTTACATAAAGCGTAGTGTTATGTTAATTTTTAAGTATTAACATCTATACATTTGAATTAAAATCGTTAACGATTAATTTCTCAGACAAGCAGCTAAGTATGATATCGTAATTGATCAATGTGATATCGGAATCATCGATTCTAAAATTCGACTTAATGACAAATTTTGGTCATGTATAGTATCGTTTGCGTAGAAAAGGAAATTGTAAAGGAATTGTAAAGAAAAAGATAAAGACGAAAATGAGCAATTCGTGCAAGATTCGAACCGTTTTCTGTTATATCGATATGGCCGATACATCGCGTGGTCCGCCATGTTTTGCCGTTGATTGTTAGCTTACCGCCAATTTTTCCGTCTAGAGACTTAGGTTGTGTTATACGCGACATTACGGTCGCGTAGAAAGAGTGAGGGCATCGCGTGTATTCTCTATGTGAATGAAGAAGATTCCGGCGATCTTGGGATTCACTCGTGACCGGGGAAACCTGTAATGCTGACGTAATTACAGCATTATCGCTATGCCTGCCCGATATTGCTTCCTGTGCGCGAGTGACGAGGGTGTTTTCCTAGACATTACGACGGATAACCGCGAGACATTTGTCGATCAGGTCGAGATATGTCTGTCCAGCAAGGTACGATACATAGATTAAACGCGCACTGTCGCAAAATTGCCGGATTTGATTGAAAAAGAGCCAATTAAATTATCGAATAGGTTATAATCGCTTCTCGCGTTTAACCTGGAACCCATCTCGATCGGAAATTTCGTTCGATCCGGTTAGGTTAGAATCGCTTGAACCGGTTTATAGATTAGTATCGAAGCGGTCTTCAAGGGCGGATATATTTATCGTATTTCATATTGTACGTGAAATTCTGAATAGAGAGGAGGGATTTTGTTTTGATCTCTTTAGATTAAGCTTCGATAGATATAATCGTGCTATGATCGTGTGTGTACGTCGAAAATGTTGATACGAATCGCGTCATCTGTGTCCGAGACGTGGAACTTGCGTTTTAATAAAATTATTACGTCTTAAATGCAAATGATTCCAATCTTAACAATATCTCTGTCAGAAAAAAAATATTCTAGATTTTACGCGATAAATGGTATAGATTCCATTTAAATTCTCACGTTTTTCTACTCGATGAGGTAAATGAATAATATCTTTTACGCGAGAAATGCGCATCGTATCCATCTTGTATCTCGTTTTACCGACATTTTGTGGTACACGTATGAAGACAATAAATGAAGTATTTAGAGCCTACGTCCATCTTTTCGTAATACACTCTGCTTTTTACATCTTTATTCAGATTTGTTAATTATATTTAAAACACGCAATAAATATTTACATGTATGTATTTGATTATTAGCCTACTATTGTGTGTTGTTACATTTGTTTGGTGTGTGTTCACTTGTTGATGAGAGATATGTGTGTATTTATCAATAAAATAGTTGAATTTTTTTCCCTTACTATCTAATTAAAATAATAAAGATTATTAACTTGAGAATAATGATTAGGAAATTAAGATGATTTAATTAATGATTCTCTAAAAGATTCTGATCTTTTTTTTTGTCATAGGTTAACGAAAGCATCAAACTTTCCAATAAAATATGTTACAAGTGTGCGTACGAATTAGATCAGTGTACCAAATTTGTGCAAAAATATAAGAAATCACATAAATCTTCAAAATCAGAAAACAACGCATTGATGCCATGTTGTTGTTTGTGTCTCGAACATGTAGAAATAAATCGTATCTTTGATATTACCAAGGATAATCGTGCAATATTTAGTCCTTTACAGAAGATCCGCAAGATTTTCAATGAAGATGTAAGTTTAAATCTTAATAATATAATTGTTATCTATATTAAAATTGAATTTGAATTATTTAGTTAATTAACATTCTAAGTTTATTCTTTTTTTGTGCAGCTTAAAGAAGACAGGGATAAATTGATATGTCTGCCATGTCGATATAACTTGGATGTATTGTATGATTTGAGGAGAATATTCCAAGAAGCACTCATCAATTTAAAGGCTTTAATTAATGAAGAGATAGACTATTCAAATTTTCCTAAAGTAATAAACTTATTATAAATAATATGTACTTTTTGCAATTTTATTATTTTTACCTTAAATATTTTTCTTAAACTTATAGCACTACAAAATTGCATTTTTTAAATTGCAGGTATATACAGATGTTGTAAACCGTAAAACAACTATTACTACGTTTCCAGATATTACATTCTATGATCTAATAAATTCTGATAGCGAAAATAGTGAGAGTATGGCACATAATAAGCGCGTTAAAAACCGCAAAAGGCAACCCAACGCTAAACGAAACGATGCGAAACCAAAAATCCGGAAATGCGACGAGTGTCACAGTATTGTCCCGAGTGGCACTGATATGTACAGATTTCATCGCACGCGTCAAACAGTATGCAAAAATTGTTGGGTAACGATGGATCCAAGTAAAGACAAATTGAGACGACGATCGCGACAGATTGAATCCAATTTGGCAGAAACAAAACTATGCGCAGTCTTTTTGACAGACGTGTTGGACAAAAAATCAAGCAAGAATAAGAAAGAACATCAGATTGAGAAAAATGAAAATAATAAATCATATGTATCAGATGACACTTCAATAGAAGATAGATTGTTTGAGAGTAGTTGCTCAAGCCTCGTATCTAAGTCAGAAAATAATATTATTAACAATAACACAAAACAAGGAAAGAAACGGCAGATTGATAAGAATGAAGATGTCGAGAGCACACCAGTGAAAGTAACAAGATTAAGCAAAAAACGTGCAAATACAAATGAAACAAAGGTATCGTCTGATGTAGAGCAGCAGTCTCCTATGACGCGACAAGGACAATATAAAAGAACAATCACTATTAGTGATTCGGACTCCGATGTTTCTCTATTGAAATCAAACGAGAAATCGGATCGTACGAAAAAGACAGGGCTTTTGTCACCTTCCTCGAGAAAACCAGATAGAAAGAAATTGAGAACTATTCTTGAAGGAGTAACTGCAAATGTACGTTCGGAAACTACCGACGAGTCGTCCACCGAAGATACGAATGTAAAAAGAACGACAAAAGACGCTTCGAATGCGCGTACAAACAAGGAAAAGAACATTCGCAAAAGGAAGAGATCGTCTTCTATCTCTAGTACGGAAATAACATTGGAGGAATTTAAAAGTCCGAAATCTATAACATCGCCGGAAGTTAAGAAAAATTGCCATACATGTGACACATGTGGTAAGAAATTTGACACCAAGTTAGCAAACGTGGAACATGGTCTAACACATCTCATGCAAGCTTCGTTAAAATTGGAAAGAGTAACTGTTTCAAGTATTAAGATGTTGAAAATGAACTCTGAAGAAGATAAAATCTCCAAAGAAACAGAAGAAGCTTCAACTAAAACCGCATCAATTGATAAACATATCGATGATTCATTTGAAGAGATCGCTATTAATGTTGTAGATTCAGATGATGAAGAAATCTTCTCTTTACCGAAAAAACAAAAAGAAAACGATAAGGAAGCGGAGAAAGAAGCAAACAGTAAAGATTGTAATGAAACTGACAAACTAGATGCAGAGAATGTAGAGGAATCTACAAAATTATGTGTGGAGGAATCTACAAAATTATGTGTGGAGGAATCTACAAAAATTCAAAGTGATGAGAAGATTATAGAAGAATCTGAACAATCAGAATCAATAGTTGTACTGAAAGAAACAGTAATAGAACGAAGCAAAGATATAAAAGAAACAAATACAAAGAATAAAAATATTAGGAATAAAGATACAAATAATATAGGTACAAAGGACAAAGATAGAAGAACATCAATGGACAGAGACATTGACGCATCGAAAGATGAAGACACAAATGCACAGAAAGACACGTCTTCTATATCTAGATTTTTAAATTGTAATACATTATGTACAAGTGTTGATGTAGAAAAAAACAATGAAGATGTAACTGCAGAAAATGATACAAAAGTGTTTACTACAGAAAAAGACAAAGACGTAACTGCTGAAAATGATACAAAAATATCTACTACAGAAAAAGAAAAGTCTAATAATGAGATTAATGATAACAAGGAACATTTTCACGAAGAAACAATTCATGATAACAAAGTAACTAGGCCATCAGTTTCTTCAATTAACAATACAACTAAGGATAATAAAAATCACAGTGAAAGCTGCAAAAGTGATTTAAAAAATAATAGCAAAGATAATGAAAGTGAAATAATAGAGGATACAGAAATGAATCAATGTGATTTAACAAATAAATCTGGGGAGGAAAATGTAAATGAATCAGAGGAAAAGGAAAAAGATGTGTCGAGCATCATTGATGAGACAGAAACATTAAAGAATCAAATACATTTAGACGATACAGTAATTGTAGACGAAAACAAGGTCGAAGAGACCTTAGAGAAGCAGCAAGATATGACCAATGAACAGAATACAGAACTAGAAATTATTATAGATGTTGACAAGCTTAATAGTGCAACAGATACCGTTAAATTAGATCTTTTGAATGGTGAAAAACTTAATCAGGCAGAAGATGGAGATGAAGACGAAAGTGATGTTGTGTTAATTACTGCAGATAGTAATAACGATATAGTACAATGCGCGAAAATCACGGAAGAAACAATTATAGCAGACAGCTCACAGGAGAAAGAAAAATTAGAGGAGACTATAAAGAATCTCGAAGACTTGATCGAAAACACTACAACTACGAATAACAAATGCGAAGAACGGGAAAATTCGAATCTTATTTCGAATGATAGCTCCATGGATGCGGCTAATATGATCCTGAAAGAAGTATTTGATCTCGCAGCTGCCGAAGTTCAAAAAAGAGAGGACATCAATAACACGAAAGGCTTGGACGATAATGAAATGGAGACCCTGGAGAATATAACGCGCGAAATACGCAATAGCGCGGATATGCCATCTTTGGATCCAATCAACATTATGGATATAGATGATGACAATGATATCACATTAAATTAATTATGTTATATTGTTATCATCATCTATCACACACAATCATCATATATATTCTGTACATGATTATGCACGTGATTGTGTGTGCAATTTCATATCTGTCTGCAAATCCAGATAATTTGATTGATTTGAAAGAAAAGAGAAAACTATGGATATCTCTTTATAAATATATCCTTTTTGTCACAAATTTTTTTCTCTATGCCGAAGTTTTCAAGAAATATAACTTGTTCTTCTGTTTCTGTTTTTTATATAGATAAATAAATAGGTGATTTATATAAATACTATAATAATTCAGTTGAAAAGATTTCAAATTTAAAATTGTAGATTGTGAGAATTTATTATCAAATGTTAAATCTTATTATTTAAGGATAGTTATGATTATTTAGAAGAATAATTCTTTTGTATCAAAAATGAACTAAATATAATATATATAAGAGAGAGAAAGAGAGAGAGCAATCATTTCACATATTATTCTTTATGTAACAGAATGAACAAGCTACCAGTGTGACAAAAATTCAACACCAAAAGCAGAAAGGATTTATTTGTTGTATGATTAAGAAGTAGAAACTTAAAATGAAAAACCAGATGAAAGAAAGGGAAACCTACTCTTTATATGTGTATCGTACATAGTGTGATATACCTTAATATATAGAATTATTATTATAAGACATAAGATATAAGATATGTGTAGATGAATTTTAGCAATTCTGTAAAAATGCTTGCACAGCGATTTGTTAGAAATTTATGTAATACATAATTCATTTATATGATATAATGTATAGCACCTTAAATTTCCACACAAAATTATAAAGAAACAGTTGACTCGATGAGATAATGGTGTTAAATTAAACTTTTCAACATTTTTCTTTACAGAAATGTAAAAAAAATAAAATAAATAAACGTTATACGAGCATGCGTACGCACACTCACGCACGCACGCATACATACATGCTCTCATACACGATACTGGCACTGACGCGCACTTATCAATCGCACCCACTCGCCCATACACCATGTCAATCGATAACAATTATATAATAAATATACGTTTCCTGCAAATTAGTGGTAAATTAATGATACGATAAATTACGGATGTAATTTTTTTAAATAAATAGTTCTTTATTATAAACTTTAACATTTATACGTATTGATAATCAATATGTTAAAACATTAATATAAATTAATTAGTTTAATTTTATTTTACTTCTGATATGAATTATTACATTTTCTCATGTAGAGTATATTACTCAAAATAGTGTGGCGTTTATATGCATTGTTTTACAGTCGGAATTTTTAAATATATTCTTATATATATTAAAGAAAAACAGTATATGTAATAAAATTGCTCTCGAGAAATATGATTTCGCGCATCCGCGCGTATTATACATATGTAAATTATAATAGGGCAATAAATAATTATAAAATTTATGTTTTAAATTTAAAATTGCTAAATTCATATGCACATTTTAAATTTTTTAAACATTAATTTAATAATGTTAATAAACCTATTGTTGTGTATGTCTGTGTACGCGTAATTATATGATTCATACGTTAAGTATATTGCATCAAACAATATCGATAATAACAAATTATTAAAATAACTCTTTAATTTGTTCATATAGTGAACAAGTAACACGTCCTTAAAATAGATTTTATCGTCTTATAGATGTCATTAAGATGTCTTTTAATGTTTTTATGTAGAATACTTGTTTAGAATACTGTTTAAAATACTTATCTTCATTAAATTACAATATAATCATTACATGTAGAAACATATGTGTGAGTTATCCTCCACTTATGAATTTTTACGCGATATTAGCATATATATAAGACGAAATTTTTATCTGTACAAAAGTATCATTTTATGCGTTTAATATTATATCATTAAAAATAAATTTGTACTTGTAGTAAGTTGTAATTTTTAAATAATTGAAAGTCATATTTATTCCATTTGTAATAAATTTTAATTCTTGTAATATATTGACGTCATTCCATATGACGTCAATATATTACAAGAATTAAAATTTATTATAATGTAATTGCTGAGATATTGTTTATATAAAAATTCATATCTTTATTATGTAAATATCTAGAGATATAATCTTCTAATAATTATACATCAAATCGAATTTATCACATCTTCTCAAGCGTAGTATTAGCAATAGAAAACGATGATGTCGTCTCGTTCTCCAATGTAAAAGATCCTTCCGAATCCTCTGAAATAATAATGTTGCACTTTTTACATTAATTTATAATATAAATCGGACGCGATATTTTTACAATTGCGCTTTGAATTAAAAAATCAATCAAAGAGATTAAAATTGAGATAATTCTTTTTACAATATTTTAAATAAACGATTAACGTTTTATTTATTGCTTTACTAGTGCGTAACGTTTTCTCAGTCCAAAAAATGCTTCTACGATTTTTCCATTGACAAAGCATCGACATTGCTGTCGAATCAGCTTCTCCGCACTGGAGTATAAGATTGATATATTGATCGATAATTCCTTGTCCTATTAAACGTGCGAAAGAATTTTAACGTATGTATAATGAATATATAAAATATTTTTTATCTATTTATTTTTTATTTTACACTTTGAACAAATATATTGATTACCTCTCGAAATTCCAGCAAAGATTCGTGCCTTATTAGCGTCATCATACAAACCGAGCTCATTATATAGATTAAAAGACTTTTCCAAATGAGGAGTCGCAATATCTGATCTTCTCTAAAAAATATAAAAATGTATTTTTAATTTAAAAGAATGTGCTGGAATTATTAATAATTTTTGTGACGCGCGAAAAAATATAAAAATTTGTATTCCTGTAATATCTCTTGCCAATATATAATTCTAAAATTTGCTTATGAAATATAATTAGTTCGACAATGTATTCGTACCTTGCTTAGAAAATGTTCGCCAGTGCAATAATGTGCTTGCGCGAGTTTTTTCATCAATTTAAACTCGGCCGCATTTTTTCTAAACAAATGGAGATGCTTTTCCGCGTTTATTTCATCGTTCAATTCCTGTAAATGTAAATTGTCTTAATTGTTTTCGAGAGAGGGGGGAAAGAGACAAAGTATGTGTAATGTAAGATACGACACGAATAATACTCAAAATTTATTTTCTCTATATTTGTGTTATAATTGATTATTATCTTATCATATTCATTTTTCAGAAAAGGCAGATTTGAGTTACACATAACTTATACGCAAGTGCCAGAGCCATATGCGCGTTACAGATTCCTTCCGGATCCGGAATCCTCTTTGCCATCGCTAAAAACTTGGAAAAGTTCTGAAAAGCGAGCTTTACATCGCCGGATTGTAACTGATTCTTTCCTAATTCGTACAGAGTGTTTGTTATATATTCATAATGTCCAGCTGTGGAGACATCGAAATGATTAATGATTACAAAATAAATAAACGAATCTCTTAGAATTTTTTTAATATTAAAAAAATTAGCATTGAATTTGAGCATTAGCTCAAATAAGCATTAGCTCAAATTCACATATTAGCATCTTAATCTTCGAAGGCTGGAATTATTTGAATCGAAAAGTTTTTTAGAGTTTTTGAATGCTACTGAATTTTTCGATTTTCCAAATTTTGGTAAAAAAAAAACCAGGCAATTTTGAATATATTGTTATTACAATATGTTTAATTTATGTAACATGTATGATTTGACATATTTTGTCAAAATTATAATTCTGATATTCCATTTGCATCACAGACTTTATTTATTAATAATTTTGTAATAATAAATGAATAATAATTAAAAGTCAAATTATTTAGCAAATATATATCGAGATCATAAAATCCTTTTTTTGCAGTTTATTGTAATTTTAATTTTAATTTTAAACGGCGTGATAAATATTTTCTAATTATATTTATAATGTCTTTAATAATGGATTCAAATAATGATGAAATATTGACAATTGAATTATGTATATAACATTCAGAAAAATGAAATCTGGAGAAAAATATAACGTTTATTATACGTATTTTTCAAAATGGAAAATAACTTACAATCTGTTGCTCGTGCTAGAGCTTCTCTATATATTTTTACGATAATATCCAGTTGATTAAGATCAACTTGTTGCGCGTGCATCAGAAGCGCTTTGTACAAAAGTACATTGCATTCTCGAAAAATAGTTTCTTCTCTTCGACCAGTTATTTTTGACGCGTTCCAATGTTTTCCTTCAGATGCTTCGCGAGCAATGTTTAAATGATATAATGATTCCGTTGTATTTTGTACTAATTATGAAAGTGTAATATAATATATTAATAATTATAATTAAATTAATTTTTAATTTGTAATTATTAATGTGTACAAGTGTATATACTTGATGATATAATAAATATTTTATTAATACATTTTTTATGTAAACGATAATATCACAAAATTATAATTATCGAGGAATAAAAGGAGTCATTTTAGAAAACAAGTCACGATTTTAGTAAGCTCAGAAGAATTGTGTTTTTGCTCTGTAATATATAATTCTACATGCATTATATGATTTACTAACTTTGTTCGAGCAAAAATTGACCATATAAATAGTGTATCAATGATATTGTTCGTCGTTCATCATTTTCGATTAATTTCGCATTCACTAAAGCGCTACGGTAAAGTCGTTCCGCTATCCACCACCATTCCCATGTCATTGCTCGAAAAAATAATGCCATATCTAAAAACTCCATGCTCATGGAAAGTGAATCTCCTACAATATTACGAAAAATATTTCTTAATCATCATTCACATCTTACATCTTATTTTTTAAATCATATATGTTATTGAGCTTTATCAAAATCATTATATTTAAATATTCGTTGTTATGTAAGTTTGCATGTAAGTTATAAATCAATACAAAATACCTCTCTATTTTATTTGTGGACAAATATTATAGTATTAAAAATTAAAAATACATTTTTAATTTTTATTAAAAATTTTCTAATTTTTAAAAATATATTTTTAATTTTTCACGCACTAGCGTTTTTGGCTTGTTCGAAAGCGATCAAGCCTTTTTTGAGACGTGTCATCGCGTCTTTATTATCTTTCAAACGTGGTTTCTTCCATGTTAATGTACCAGGACCAGCTTCTTTCCGAGTTTTCTCATCGAGCTCAAACAATTCTTTCAAATAACTGATCGATTCCTTGTAACCATTTTCCTCGAGTTCGTGAATAATAGCTTCGTGAAGTGGTAAGTGAAATCTATTCGACGATCGATGTGTCAATATTAATTATTAGAAAAAAATAAAATTGATGAATTTTGTATTTTTCAAAAATAGATAAAGCAAAGCAAAGGATAAATAATAGTGAGAGATATATAACGTTGTAATTTTAAATAAATATGGCATGTAATCAAAGGAAGAGAGAGCGCACACATCTTTTTATTCTAAAAATAAAAATGAATGTTAAACCTTTTCACTTCTGAAGGTTTTAATATTGGAAGCATCTCCTTTAATTGGTTCTTAACCTTTTTCATTTCCTTCTGTCGCGCTCCAGCAAGAGTTATAATGGTTTCAGTCGAATCTTGCTCATTTTCTTTGATATTAGAATCGACTTCTGACCATTTTTTTTTATCGAAATTCTTTTGGATCGCTGTCGCAGTCTTTAAATCAAATTTTCGCATATTCGCGATCCTACTTTTCGCTATCTTAATAAATCGGCAATGTAATAAAGGATGTGAGAAAATAATGAAAATATCGAAGATTTCAGATTTCGCAGCGCGTACACCGCATTTTATTGCAAGAGATAAATATCAACACAAGAGCAATAAGTCATACAATAGTTAACGACCACAGATCAGTAACATACAAGTATGTGCATCACATACGTGTATGTGATCTGCGCACGCAATCCACGCAAGCGAAATGCGGTTTTTTAATGCGTCTTTTTTTTTGCGTTTTTCGCTTTGATTGAAATTCGAAAGGTGCAAAGTCCGCTTCTCCTCCATGATACGCTACTCTCTATCACCTCTACTCCTACGCAAACGGAATTTGAAAGCGCTGTTTAAGCGGTGGCGGCCACCAATTTTCTCGGTTCCATTCTGATTTTAAAGCCCTCGGCTCGCTTAAGGATGATATCGGCCTGGAGTCGGAAATCAGACTCTTTGATATCTGACTTGACGCGGAAATTCCTCATGACGGTGGCCAGGATGATTTTCAGCTTTAGCATAGCATATTTGCGACCCACGCAAGAACGCGGCCCGGCGGAGAACGGCACGAAAGCGTAGTAATGTCGATTGGCGGTTTTCTCAGGTAGGAAGTTGTCGGGATCGAAAACTTCCGGGTTCGGATAGATATGTGGCTGTCGGTGCATCTTGAAGGTCGTCACCACAACTGTGCATCCGGCTGGGATTGTGTAATCTCCCGATGCTGAAAAGCAATGTTCAAAGTCAATATATTATCGAGCCTGACGAAAATAAATAATGCTGATGAATGAATGAGCAATTTTTCATTTTTAGTTTGCACGTTGCACGAATATCTATCGCGATTTTTACAAATAAATCTTTATAAATATTTGTCAATAAATCTTTTTATAAATATTTGTCTCTCCATTAAATTTTTTAGGAGACTACAGATTGGGAACTTGTGCATGACAGTTTTGACAAATTGCATGATTTGATTTATCCAAGCTATTTTAATATAACTTTCAGTTTCTAAAACTGACCAAGTTTTAAGTCGGTGTTGATTGTACGAGCGATAAGCGGCACGGGTGGGTACATTCGAAGAGTCTCCATGAGGCACCGTTCGAGGTATTTCATTTCCATTGTGTCCTGGAATGTCACTGGTCTATCGCTATCGCCAAAGATGTCGTCAAGTTCCTGGATAACCTTCTCTTGAATTTCTGGATGGCAACCCATCACTGATAAGAAGAAGCTGGATGCAGCCGCAGTCGTGTCGTGTCCCTGGGAAACAGATGATACCATTAATGGAAATCCTCTTGAAACTCATGACCACAAATCCTCTGATGCTTACTTCAAACATGATAGTATCAACTTGTTCCTTGACCTCAGTGTCTGTGAGGACAGAACCATTCTGACCAGCTTCCATCAGCAGATCGAGGAAAGCTTGCCTCTTCTTCTCGCCGATGTCATTATCATCCACATCAAGATCGTCTTTCAAATTGGCCGATTGTCCAAAGGAAAGTCCCTCCACAGGAACGTCCTAAAAAATATAAAATATATACATTAATAGCGATGATTTGAATCAATGCCGCTTTTTGTTCTGAAAATTGTTTTCAAGAAAATTAGCTTTCTTCCGGGATTATATCAATGTAAAGATAATTACCTTATTTTTGGCATTGCCATTTTGAATAGCTTTGCCGTTTTGAGTAGCACTGCCATTTTGAGCAGAGACATCGATGACGTTGCGTTTGCCGCTCTTGTATTCTTGCTTCTTGCGCGCAATGATCTTCTTCGTGAGCCCATGGATGATCTCCAATAAATGAATTTGGTCCTTTCCGTATTTCGTGAGATTAAACAAAAAGTCAGGTCTGAGCCAGACTTTCATGTGACGCAAATGTAGAATGTTACTCATCCTAAAAGATGATAAATATTTTTGTTACGCTTTTGCTTTCATATGAAAATGAAACTGTCCCATATACAAACTTCATAAAAATTTGCATATATTTACATATGATATGTATAATGTGACCTTCTACTAATTTTAAATGTTTTCATTAAAAGAAAAAAAGCAGAAAACCTTGACTTTCAAATAAAAAGATCTTTAATTATTAAAATGACATATTCAGCGATATATTTTTTGTCTCTTTTTTAAACAAACTTTTTTAGATACTTGCTTCATTACAGCCATAGCATATTCCAAGCCGCTTCGGTCTTGCGTGGACTTGGAAACACCCATAGCGGTCTCGAGAAGGATCTCGACCGTGCATTCGGACATGTAGTCATGGACATCGAATTCTTTACCGTCCTCTTTACGTAATTTTTCCACGACGGCGCGAGAATTGGCATTGAAAAGATCGATGAAGCTCTTCAATACGTTTAAGTGGAATGTCGGCGCGATTAGTTTGCGATGAGCGCGCCATTTTGGACCTATAAATAATTTGTAGATTTTTACTGATTGTTTGCGGTGAAAAATAATTCATGTAATTTCCTCGCTATAATTGAATTGAAGGAATTCTTATTAAGAAATTATTGTATGAATTCACAAATTCTGCGAGATCACGGGATCAGAATTTGATTATATCGCAAAATAAATTTGAAAATAGAAGAGGATGGCGGAAAATGTAAATATCATTTAATAAAATCGAACGATGATTTTTTTAAAAACTTGTTTGAAGCAAACTCCTGCCGGATTCGTTTCCATTCATTTATTTTGCACAGTCGCGACACGTCTGCCGATTTCGCGTATTCGTGCAGAACGCTTTCTACCAAACACGCGGAAGTAGGAAGAAAGAGTGAGAAAGACATTTCAAGACGTCATAAAAGGGGAAGGGGGAGCAAGATAATATATCGCAATGTGTGTGTAAGAAGGGCGAGAATCGCGCAGTGCAATGTTGCAACGATTCCTGAGGAAAGAGTGAAATGAACGCACGTGTAAATGGAGAACGGGGTTAGGGAGAGAAAGCACCGTGTACAAATTTCCTTCCTGTTCTGCCTCTCGTGAATTACCGCGGACTGATTACATTTCACTCACTCTCCCTCTCTCTTGGGAGAGAGTAAGAGATCCTAATACAGCTGCATCGTCTCGCGAATACACATTGCACGCGACACATACATGCATAGGCATAGGCGTCTACTTTTTCGCGTCTTTATTTTTCTTTTGAATCGGTTTTTGATTACGAACGATTCAGCCTCGTATTTATAATCATCTTAAGAGCGTATTAAATAAGGTACGCAAATTGAAGTTTCATATCTCGGGCGGACAGTTTTTGCTTGAAGATCAGCTGAGGCTATATTTGCTGGAAAACGAAACGATTATTCGCGTGAAATTAATTTTGAGATTCCAATATCGATTAAAGCAGCGCCTATTTGAAAGTAATTTTCTGCACTAACGCTATAAATCTAGGAATTCTTTTTTTCTATTTGTTCAAAGTTCGAGAGAGATTTTAGATTCCTTTAATTTTTCCAGGCTTAACATCAATTTTTCCCGAATTGTTCAAAGTATCGGTTAAGTTATAATTACAGATAATTATATAAAATTTTTCGATATAAGACTGGTTTAACGAAACAAGATAGTTAACAAGTTAACGATTGCGTCTACCCTATAAAACGTGTTTACTATTATATGGCAATTTGGCATCTTGCATTATCATGTCACTGTCACGTCATGTTTGTATTACTATTACGTAAAAATAATGGATCTGTCAATCCTCAAAAATTTCACAATCTGCTAAATTTTTATTTTTGTACAGACAATAAAAATATATAAAAGATATCGCAAGATTTGAAACAATACTAAGTTTGACAATATCAAAGCATCTTCTTTAAATCAAGAAATATAAAGACATTTTATAAAAGAGTCTTTCTCTATTTTCGTATATATAATTCGTATATATAATTCGTATATATAATTATTCATAAAGTTTACTAAAAAAATATAGAAAGTGCGTGCTTCACTCTTTTAATTTTTTTACTAATAGTAAGATTCTTGTTTTGCTCTTGTTGTTAATGCTAATTTAGACATTCCAAGTCAAAGAGGAAGTATTTACATTTGAAAGAAATCAATAATTTTTATGTAAGACATCGTTTGCTATTAATATCAATTTAACGATGTCAAATCTCCCTATCTCTCCTTTTTCTTCCGCCGAATTATGAAACTCGACTGTCCACATGCCATTGAGGGTAACGGCAATTATTAAAATGACACAGCATACATTATGCAAACATTACGTAAGATGTTGCTGTAAAAACACGAATGGATTCGGGAGAAAAAAAAAAGAGAGCAACGGGGTGATGCACGAACGCCGAGGCACGGACGCCTTTGGCAGGCAAACGAGTCAATCGAGACACAAGCGGTTACATGCATCGTTACATACAAAGCGTTGTTACGTACATGTCCACCGAGATCGAGAGAGTTTCGTCAACGAGAAAAAGGACGTCTCGGTAAGCGCCGAGAAAGTTGCGATAAAACGACACGCTAGGTCGTCGCTGCATCTCGTTCCTTTTGTTCGTTTTCACCCTGCGAGAGCCTGTTTCGTATTTCTCCGGGGAATAACATCACTCCGAAATATCCATCTCGCTCTCATACCTTTTACCTTGTACCCGTTTCATTATGCGCGACAGGCGAGAAAAGCGAAAAGTATATGAGAAAGGATAATTTTGGATTAATTTGAAAATTATCTAAGAAGTAGATAAATTAAATTCGAATAATGGGGATATTTTTATTAATGTTTCAAACTATATGTTTATATAAAATCTTTCAAATAAATAAACGAAATATGGTAATAGGATAATTTTGAATGTGACATTAGACACAAAAAATGTCGAAGATAGATTGCGTTAAACTTAAACTTTACCATTTGCTTATTTATTTTTTTACTCGATCGATCGGACACGATCGATTGGAGAAGTAATTCGTTATTTGTCAACCGTAACTAATTATTGCGTCTTAAAACTGCATTCTGAAAATTATTTTATTAGAAATTTGTATATTTTTTAAATATATTAATAAAAAATTAAGAATAATAATATGATTAATAAAATAAGAAAGATTATTTTAAAAATATTTGCAGAACTTTAATAAAGACCTTTTGAAAAAAAAGCAACAAGTTTTTATGAAATTATCACATATTATTACGATAACATGAACAAAAGACGTTCAAAGGTCGAAATAGCCTGTTATTAAAAATTTTATCATACTAATACAAGTACAAGTAAAAATATCGCAATAACCTTATATATAGCTTAAACTGGCCTTTTTTAAAATTTTTTATATATTTTTAACAAACTTTTTTTCTACATTTAAGAGTATTTTAATATTTTGAAAAATCCATTCAATATATGAGAGAAGAGGCACCAAGGACAAATAGCGCATATTGCTATGTTCTAGTTTTACGAAATCAAAAATATTATCGATTATTATTTGTAATGGAAAGTATCAAAAGATTGCGACATTTCTGCATTGGAGATATTAACCGACATATTTATAATGTAATGAAAACATATTTTTGTGATACAGTTATGTAACGCGCTTATAATGAAAGAGAGTGTAATCTGTTCAACGGAGAGAGATTGAATGCAGCGATTAGTCTAAACTAATTGCGGGGTTGTTTGCGGCTACTGGTAAATAATTATGTATGTACATACGTTGCATAATCGAAAGCTTAATAATAAAAAAGTTTTCCACTTATTATTATAATTTTTCGTTTAATATTATATTAGTATTTGAAATTATTAGTTTGCACGAGAGCACAAAGTTATACATCCTACTAATACGCACCAGTGGAAATTAGGAGTCCATTGCCCAGCCAAGGCTCGAACAACCGGTATTCGGAGGATTTGTCGATGTAGACCTGGCTAGACAAAATGATCTCGACATCGCGCGGATCCATCAGGAAGACCATCAGTTTCGGGCCGAGCCATAATCTGATAATTTGGTCGAATTCGAAGGATTTCCTGTATATGGTGCGAAAAACGGCTGTAACAGAAACAGGGTGCGTGATCGGTCGATCGGAAGTTACATAACATACGTTGCCGCGCAAAAATCGCTATCTAATCTAAAGTAGTGTTAATTAGTGTTATACATCTAGTTTCTCTAGCAAATATTGGAATTAATAGTTGATACGATAGCTCTTTCGAATTTAAATAAGTTTAAATAAATTTACTGACAGAAAACTTAATTTTTAAATTGAAACTCTCGAAAAATAATTGGAAAGTGATATAATACAAGTAAACGATCACTACTACCTGTTTCGTGCTAAAGTCTGGTTTCGAAACAAATCGATATTAATTATGGATAAAATGAACAAAGTATTTATCATATGCAATGAATAATGAGCTCAACCTGAAGCAATTATTTTATTTACTTCAGGATATTCTCCATTATTGCAAATTATTAATAAAAGAATAATTTTTCATATAAAGATATATCTTTACAGCAAGAGAAAATGTGTAAAGTTAAATTTTGTACAGTTTATATTAAAATTATTATAGTTTGCGCGAATAACATTGTTTATTTTGCACTATTATTTTATGTACGGGATGTTGTAACATGGAATATCACATAATTCAGAGCAGAGTATTGATTAAAACAAAAAAAAATTTATAAAAAAAAATCTAGAAAGAGAAAAATTTATTTAGCTTTAAAGACACGAAACATTGGCGAGTATTTACAAGCTTAATACAAAAGTATAAAATACATAATACATAATTATGTAAAAAAAGCAACATACACGCTTCTAACAATTTTTAAGTTAATAAAATAAACACATCTTGTCTTATTAAATATTCCGTACAAGATATCTCGCGTAGAAATTGAAAAACTTTTAAAATGTGTTTTAAATGTGATTTTAGACAAAAAAATTCATATACACTATACATTTAGGCACATTTATCAAGCAAAATTCATGTCAATAATGCAAATTCCTAACGATTTTGTTTCGCCCAAAGCATTAATTTTTCGTTAGTTACGCATATACTATCTTAAATAGTTTGATATTGAAAATTAGCATTTAAATTTATGTTGAAACTATTGCATATAATTATATATTATTATATATTATATTATATGTATATGGACTTTTTTGCTTGAAATGATCTCTAACGCACATTTTCGAAATTTGTTCATTCTCTCGCGAGACACCTTATATAATAAATTATTTTATGTATGTATTATATGTATATACACATTTAAGAATATGTTATCTTTTCATAAAATTCTTAAGTAAAATTTTTTTCATAAAATTCTTAAGTACGACTGCAAATGTCACACCATTTGTTATCATTTTCACACCATTTGTTATCATTTTTTACAATTTTTCTTAAATGTTCATTCGAGGGACACAGCGAAAACTGTCAACTCGAGATTAAAAATATGAGCTAATGGCTCATAAAATGCAAGTTGAAAATATCGAATTAATCGAATTCAGATATCGATTATTATATGTGTTTGTCATTATTATATTCTTATGTGTAAAAACTCACTGTCAGCGCTGCCTGTGAACATTAGCGCGTTTCCAATTAATGGTAAGCCATCAGGACCTGGCAGTTTATCCCCCAACTCAAACAAATGACGATGGGAAAGTTTGAAGTAGATATAGTACAGAACCAGGGCAGGAATCAAGAGAGAGAGGAAAACCGTAGTTGCCGATAGTCCAGCGGCTGCTGCAGCAGCCGCTGCAGTTATTATTTCTGGCTCGGCTGTCGACATGATTTCTAGAAGAAATATATAGATCAGATTGTATTCTCTCGAATTTAATTAACGATTTTTAAAATACAAAAATATCGTTTTGTAAAAAAATATAAATTAAAAATTTGACGAAATTACAATATTTTGATTTAAATATAATTTTGGATTTAAATATCATTTTTGTTTTAAATTTGCACATCGATAATCTTTTAAAGATTCTTAAGCTAATTTGGAGGAAGAGATTGAACTCTATAAAACTTGCACAAATTGTTTCTTTGGAAATTTGTAAAATATTCGTTACAATTTCTTATACTTCTTGCAATCTCTACAACCGCAATAAATAAGTTAATCATATTAAAACACTGATGAATATAATATATTATTTCACTACATTATCACAGACACGAAAAGAAAAAGAAAATTTTATAAATATTTTCTTAGTTCAATATCGATTAATTATGAAGGAATTGAAGAAAGCCGGGAGTTTTCGATACACCCACCTATATGTTCATGAATGCACGACCGAGTTCTTTCAATGCACCAGCACTGAACTGATCAGCTTGCCTTTCGACAGTCTTTTATAAGCGACGCTTCAACATCCACCACCACCGACGTTGAATATATCCGTTAATTAATTGCTCTTTTTCTTTATCTTTGTCGACGTCAATAAGCAAATTTTTTTTCTATTGTTTTAGTCACGCGGCAACCTCATAGGTTACAAATTCAATAAAGTGAAAAAAATACGAGCTCAGTGATGCAAATCAAACTTAAAAGACTAAACTAAAAAGGAAAGCCAAATGAGCAAACTGCACATGTGAATGCGCGTGAATATATTATATATGATATAATAAGCATTCCAAATCGTATTACATATTATAAATAACAATTTTTCAAATTATTTTGACTCTAACTTTGAGATTCTCCTCGTAATGATAATAATTTGCATCTTAGTAATAAGGCCAAGGAAATAAAATGGAAAAAATATAAAGCATACAACGAAAATGAAAGTAGTACAAGTAATTAAAAATACGTTTATAAATATTGGAATTCGATGATCAACTGAATGGCGGCACTACGGTCTCGCTCCAGATCTGGATAACGATCAATCGGGAAGGGGGTAGGTTTTGATTTAAAAAAAAAATTTTTTTTAGCGGTTTAAGTCATGCAAGAAAAGTTTAAATAAATAATCATGGTTCAAAGAAAATGACACAATATATTAATTTATCTGTTAGATCACAGCAAATATATGCATTCTAATGTTATGTTTCTTTATAAATTCATTTAATACCTGTTCAGTATCTATATCAGTCATCTCATGATAAATATTTAACATTGAAATGTCATTTAACAGATTTTGCGACTTGTCTGTTGTCATTATCCGTTTATAATTGTCAGGTCTGGATTTCCACCTGCTCATGAGTGAGATTTGGATTTATCCAAACCATCCCTAGCGGTAGTGCCCCTGAACTGAATGAAAATTTATTTATTTTATGCGATTAAACTTTGATCTTCACTGTAAAAAATGTAACTTACGTAAAATTGATCCTTATTATAAAAAATGTAACTTATGTAAAATGCAAAAATTACAAAACATAATTCAGTTAATTACAAAAATTATCAAATTTGCGTCATTGTTTATTTTAAAATTATTATAAAAACACATTTGATTTATACATTTTACAGAATCGAAATAAATATCTTTAAACTTATTCGCTAAAATTTGCCATTATATATTTCTTTTTACAGATTCAAATTTTAATGAATTCGATTTTTCTTTAATAAAATTAGAAAAAGAGACGAAAGGAAATTTTGTCGAGTCATTTTTGATAATTATTTCTTTAAAACAATATAGATGCAGCTTCGATGATTGTAACTTTATTTTTCTATAATATTTCACACTTGCACCTTTTGTTATTTTATTGCGATGAAGTGACTATTTTAAAATGATAATTTTATTTTACGTATTCCTTGCATTGTCACTGTAATTATAGATTCATATAGGCTGTTGCAACAAAATTGCCACAATATTGCTGTAATATTCTGTTGTATAGGGATAAGATTTTTACATAATCATTGATAAAATGGATAAAATGTTTAATTTTTATGATTTTACCTTAAGACTTGTGTAATTTTATTTATGTTGCGACTAACATCAATCAGAATCTAATTTTAGTCTTTCTTTATAATTTTACTTTACTCACATATATTTAAAACAAAATACAAAGCAAGATATAATAATTAATTTTACTTTAACTCAATGATCGTATCGCTCAGCTTTGCAACTCAATATTAATTTTTATCTAAAATTTTATTTAAAATAAATAATGTTCGATGTGTTTTATTTTATTAGTAACAACAACTCTGAATGCCTGCAGTATATAGCGAATCAAACTAACTGAAAATCAATTTCCGATTACACAAAATTACTACACTCATATTAAATATAAAATATAAACATTAAACAATTTAATTTCATTCTCGACCTATTTTCAACATATAAATATATATAATTATATTACATCTTACGGGTAAATAAAAATCAAAAATAAAAAAAGATTTCATAAATTATTTTAAATGTTGATATTTACTTATCCAAAGAATAATAAGCTGTTCATTATCTCACGCACTAACTTGTAATTCAATTGTACAACATTTACAATCTATTGTTTTATATGAAATGATGTCAATATAAAAGGTATTTTATTAACATCTCACAGATATTAATTGTTGAATGCATTATAAAATTGGTGAATGTATTCTGTTCTGCAAAAGTGAGATTAAAACATTCAATTTTTATAATTTATATTATATCAAAAAATATAAATATGGTATAATAATAGTAATAATAATGGTTCTTATTATGTTTCTCAATAAATGTTCTATGTATAACGTATTAATAATAACGTGTTAATAATTAAAATTTTATTGATGGGTATATGTATGTTGTGTACACACACACACACACACACACACACACACACACACACACACACACACACACACACACACACACGCACACACACATATATAATTTTTCCATTTGAAATTAAATGCAAGAAAGATTTTTCGCATCTATTTTAATTTACAAAACACTTGGATGTATATTTTTTTGGCGCTTATAATAAAATTACACTAACTTGTAATTCAATTGTAAGACATTTACAACCTATTGTATATATGAAATGATGTAAATGAAAATCATAATCAAATATACATATTTTAAAACGACGTTGCATTTAACTTTCTTTAAAAAATCGGAAAGTATTATTTCAGTACAAATTTCAGTAAAATATTAGATTTTTGTACACACATTGGATTGATTTAATGTTACGTTAAAGATTAATTATAAATATTATCAAAGAAAATTTATATTTATATTATAATGCCGCAATGTATTTATTTTTTTCAAGATAAAAATTTGCTATCAAATATTAGTTTTGCTCATTTCCGCTTAATGAGCAAGGCTGCTCTGTTATAATCGCAAATTTACAATTAACTTTAAACGCATGCAAATATACGTCATCAAAAATTAACAAATGAAAGTCACGTATGTGCTTTTACAAAACTAAATTTTTGACAGGCATATTTACAGCTCGAAACCTTCATGGTAAAAATTCATGCGCAGACAATCGACGGACATCCAGGTCACTGCTCGTTGACCTGCACGTACCTTGCGTGGTACCTTGCGTTGATTATTTTTGTTATATTGTGTGTACATAATGCAAGAATGATAAACGAAATTTTTACAAGCATCAATAAATACAACCGTCATAAATGCAAAGTGCATACTGACTTTTCTTATAAAGATATAACCGAAGACATCGAGGAGAAATTTTTTATTTCGCTTATCTATATTCAATACCCTACTAAAATTAAAATATCCTTGAATTAAAATATCATGTATAATCAATATATTGTTCTAAATAATCTAACAATAAGTAAATATATATTGTTCTAAATAATCTAAGTAATTATATATTGAAAAATACTTCGAAGCTATATATATTTATTATTTAAGATTTCTTGATTAATAGAATATGTTGGAGCAAAGTAAAATTAATCTGCGCACTTTACCTTTTACGCAATTAAAATGAATAGTTTTTAAATGCTAATAGCGTTTAATATATTAAAATTAATTGAAATCTTTCGTACTTTGTTTTTCATTCAATTTTTTTACGTAGAGAATATAAATATTAACACACTACGCAAAAACATCATTTTAACATTTAGACAATTCACAGTGTGACACACACATCACAGGATGATAAAATACAATACTTCACGCTATATATGGATATATATTCTAATGTATGTGTATATTATATTTTTTATTAATGTTTAGATAGTTATAATATTTAAAAAAATTTTTTAAACGTATTTTAATAATAATAAATATAACAGAAAAATAATCTCTCGTAAATATCAACGTGATCATACTGTTGTGTAAAATGTTAATTTCTATATTTCTAATTGGAAAGAAATTAATTGGAATAATGAATTATAATGCAAAAATATTAACAGTTTCATAGTAATATAAATTAAATTAAAATTAAATATCAATATAGCGAGCCAAAGATTTGCAAGTTTATGGCTGTAATTATGTTCACACGTGCACGTATATTCTTCCTCTATTAATTTTTATAGTACAATTGTTTTTTTATTTTTAGTGCTCAATTGATTTTGTCTTTTTTTATGCCATTAAAGTTGATATCGCATACATTATCGGCACACATTTAAAATTAAAATGACACTTTAATTATTAATGTGTATTCTGTCTCACATATCTTGATTACTTAAAAAAGTTTAAGACACTTTAAAAACTATATGTGAAAATATGTGAAATGAGCGGAATATTCATGCAAAGAAAAAACAATCTGAAGAAAAACTAGTCTGGTGGGTTATAAGAACGTTGATTAAAAGAATCAATGGATGTTAAATTCATTTTTAAGACAAATGAAGTTATTCGCGCAACTATTTTAATTCTTAATATTTATTGAATTGTCAAAATACATCAGTTTTTGTTATTATAACTGTTTGCGACCTAATATACGTCGACATAAGCTTGAATCAAGAGTTATGATTTAATCTTCATGTTTGAAAGTAAATCAATTCATCGATAAATTAAATTATTCATTGTTCATTATTAATTATTTACTAACAATAAATAATTTTATGCAATGAAACTAGCAGAAACGTAATAGAAGAGTGTAAAACTCACAACTTGAGTATAGTAATAATTTCTGCGCGAAATACTGCTGTTTCCATATTTTGCAAATACAATATTTATAATATAATATAATATAATATTTGTAAAGAGGATATTTTAAATATTGAACTACGCGTTGAATACTTGTTCTTCCGTTCTTTAGATTTTGAAATACAAAACTATGTATGAGAGCGCACGAGCAACTCGTCTTTTTAAAATTGAATAAATGAAGCATTCTTGTGGCTTTATCTTCGAATACGTTAATAAATTAAGTATTCACATTCTTTCCTGTTTTACTTGATACTTGAAAATAAAAAGCTACACGTGATTGTAAGCAGACGGTGAGAAAAAAACATTACATCGCCATTTAATTATCACCTCATAATCATATGTCGCTATAAATAATTATTCTCATTGCTACTAATTCTTTCATATTCAAGTAAAAATATAATCTCAGCAGTTATTTATAGTATTATAATAGTATATAATTATGTAGTAATTATAATAGTATTAATAAACACAAGACAGGAAGAAATCAATCAGTGTTGCAGGGAAAGGAATAATGTCGACTCGACTTTGAAAGTGATTTGAAACAAAAAAATCAAACTAATAGAAATAAAAAGTCAAATTTCCCGCTCCCCAATTCGTCGCAGAAAACTGCCGCGAGATGGCGAATACGAAGACTTTCATTTGCGAGTGTCGGATCTCTATCTCACAATCAGTTGCTTGCGGAGCAACTAGATCACGAAAACTGAAAACAGTAACCCGGTGTGCATCACGTTGTAAGGTGTTACAGTTTCCTCCGTTGATTTCTTTTTTCTTTCGCGACGTTTTTTATATCACGCATTTGCAATCGATCGCGAGCAGCGAGCGAGAGAGAATGCGCCACGTCCCGCTTCTTTTCTGACGGACGTCCGAGGTTATCGAAGGTAATATTACTTTTAATATTATTTTTTTCAAGTTTCTCTGCGTGACAACCTCATAAACTCGGCAAGTCGTTACATCGATTCGCGGTTTCATCGAAATGACCTTCGGCCGCTCGCACGATCTCCACATAACATTAATGACGAGTCATTTGCTTTATCTAGTCTTACGACGATGCGATGTTATTCCATGACCGCAAATTGTTTATCTCGCGCTCGCGCTTGCGTGTCGCCATGGTGACAATCTACATTGTGTCAATCGTGCGAGCACGTGATGCAATTGTCCGTCGTATGTCGAGTGCAGGCGCGAGATTGCTCTTTTTATTATACGTATATACGCGCTATCTTTGTATGTATATATAATTTTTATTCCAGTTAATTCTCTAATTCTCTAATCTCTTATCGCAGTTTAATTAGTTTTCCGTTTTTTTTCTATATTGCAATACAGCAGTCATATAATATATATATATATCATATATATGACTGCTGTATTGCAATATAGAAAAAAAACGGAAAACTAATTAAACTGCGATAAGAGATAATTAGAGAATTAACTGGATATATACATACACACATACAGAATAAAAAAAGCTCTTGAACCTTACCTCGAGACCTTTTTCAAAACACTATAATAAAGTATTGTTTCAATGAATACTTTTCGAGTTATGAGGCTTGAAATAATTTTTTAATTTTTACATAAATATTATTATTAATAGTAAGAGGAATCAATTAGTGTAAAGAAAACACGTAATTGTTTCGAAGAAAAAGTATGTAATTTGCAATTAACAATTACATATTTTTTTCGAAACAATTATGTGTTTTGTTTACACCAATTGATTCCTCATATTATTTTGTGCATAAAAGTATTAAGGTAAGATAATCGAGAAATGAATATTTTACTAGATATTTTATGATTTATGTAAAATTAAGAGATTATTTCAAGTACTCAATGAAGAAATATTTTATTATAGTGTTTTGAAAAGCTCTCAAGGTAAGCTACAACAAGAGCTTTTTTGGAAAGAGATTGCCCTGACATCCTGTATATATATATGCATTATAATATACAGAAAAAGAGTCTGTGACTGAACAAATCGATAAATTGGTTTAGTAAAATATAATACTGAATTATATAGAGTATATAGTGTATGCATACGTGTAATAATTATATATAAATATCATTCTTTCTTTCGCACGCGAGTTGAATTCTAAAGATTCTATTTAATAACGAATCCTTTTTTTCCTCTTTTTTTTATTTCAACTACTTGTTAAACTATACATTGATAAAATAGATTTTATCTTGATTTGTAAATTGTTTCATGCGAAAAATCGAATAAGTATGTATAAATATCTCTGGTAGAGAAAATACATATAATCCGACTAAAATTATGTTCGATTAAATTCTTGTATCATTCTAAAATATCAGCGATCCGTTAAAATTAATAGTATAAAGTAAACGATGCAACTTATATTTTTATCATTCGTGAATTATTTATTAATCGCTCGGATGCCGATATCAGATGGGTCTTGGAACGCTTGCAAAAATAATATATTTCGTACACGAAACGAAAAAAATGCTCTTGTAACAAAAAAACACGTGTAATAAATTCGAAATTATGTCCCATACAGATTGTGTGTGTCCAAAACAAACTTCAAACATTATCGCGTATAGTTTTCGCGCTGGAGGCGCGCTTGATCCGCTCCGATCCTCTGTTCGCCGATTTCCTCAGCTGCTGCTTCTTTTTCTTCTGCTTCTTTTTCGTGACTTTCGGCTTACCCGAGTCCGACGAAACGTCATCCGACGTCGTGCTCTCGCAGAAGGCGTCGCGTCGACACGATCGTCCCGCTTTCGCTTTCGCAGGGCTACAGGTGGTGGCTACTGTGTCGACGCCGCGGAATTTCCGGCGCGGCTCGAGCTTCCGCTGCGGTCTCTTCGGCGGCGTGTCCGACGCTGCCAGGAGTTTCAACGAACCCGCCTCGATCGTTAGATAAGAGGAAGAGACTTTCGCGCTCTTGGCATCTTTGATCTTGGAGTCCAAGTTCACCGTCCGTTGCCAGACGAGTTTCGAATTCTTTTTCTTCGACGTCTTTTGCCCGTCCACTCGCACGGATACCTTCATCTGGGACGCGTTCTCCGCGACACCCTGTCGCTTCCGCCGCGACTTCTTCCGCGTCTTCCTCGCGTCGTCTTTGTCCTCGTCGTAGACGAGCAACTGTACTTTCTTGAATTGCGTCTGTCTAAAAAGATGATAAAGCATCACGACGGGCGATGGAATGTATTCTTCTTCAAAGAGTAAGAAAAGTAGAGAGAGTTCAGAGAGCGATGGATTTTAAATTCGATTTTAGAAATGACAATGAAAAATTTCACTCAATTATGTCTGACACCGTGTATGTTATCGATACACTTATTTTGTGGACACTGCGTATATAAATTGAGGTTTAACTCACTTTAGCGTGACTTCACCATCCGTGGGATAGTGCATCAGAGCGTATCTGGAGACACCCCAACTTAAAGGTGTCTTAACAAACGCATCGTTGACTAGACGTCCCGTATCGTTGCCCTCCGCGGCAGATACACCCGTCCAAATCTGTTTCCTTAATGACGTTAGCTTGACCCTCGCTTCTTGATTCGTCGGCGATACTGGTGATGGATTCTTCAGCGTTCTAATAAATAAATGGATTATATAATTTTATGAATAAAGGCAACACAAAAAGTTGTTGTTTGCAAAGATAAAATATTACCATTTTATTAGATTAAATGACTAAATAAATGACTAAATTATTAATATATATTATTATTACATAAAATAAAAAATAAAAAATATATGAAAATTCTTTTAAATTCTTCAACTATTTTTTTTATTTTTATCCATTATCGTACAATAGCTCAAAAATTTTATTGCTTTATGTTATATATTACATTATTAAGAGCTCTATTTATTTATATTATTATTATTATTATTATTCAAATCTATGTCGGAAAATTCAAATTCTTTACATGCATAATGTGATATAATAAAAAAGATGTAATATTACACCTTTTACCAATAATTTTTTTGCATCTTTGAAAAAGGACGAAAAAGATACAACAATTGAAATTTTACCGAAGACATCGCGGTCGTTGACGAGTTCTCCGATGATCTTTGCGCGGCAATATTTCCCCGAAAGATACACTGCGCGGTCTGACAATTTCCGGTAGGATCAGCGCTTTATTCTGTCGTCTTTCGTCTCTTTCGATCGTCTCTCTCTCGGAAAACTCGATAATCTCTTCACACTCTCGTATGTTTCTCCACGCAACTGCAAGATTAGTAGTAGCATAAACACATACAAAATACGAACATTATAAAATTGACTCAATTATAATTATTATAATTGAATTAATTTATTATAATTATTATAATTGAATTGAGATATCATCGGATTGATAAATGTAATATACACCGTCGTATTCTCTTCCTTCGCTTCTCACGAAACTTTCATCAGCCGAGTCGGTCAGATCACATAAATCGCTACCTGGATCCGTGGTCGGCAAGTCCATTACTGCACGTTGCGTCTGTCGACAAAATTATTATTTTTCAGAATGTCGTATAATTTCTACACTTACTTTCCCTTAGCTAGAGAATAATTATAGAGATATACCAGGTTTCTTCTGCGCTCCAGATATATTCTTCCCGCGACATCCCTCCTCGCTCTCCTTCTATAAAGACCGACGCTTCTCGGAGGAACGAAAGTCGGCGACGGTGGAGGTGCGCAAAGATATCGACGACGACCCGCCAGAAACTCCCCGCCTTCACTGGACCACGCAGCATCCGCATACTCGGTTCTTTGCTCCTCCGACGAGAAGCTCTCCTGTGAGATATCTCCTTCGTCACTATTAAAATTAAAATTCGTTAAATTATAAAAAGTTTTCCGAGATGTAGAACAAATATAAGGTTACAGATTATTATTATAGGAAAGGATAGGATACCTTGAGTAATCGGTCAAATCGATATTGGTAGGTTCCTCGGCGCTGGATCCTTCCTTGGTCAATCTGGCTATGATCTTATTCCGAAGTTTTTCCTGTTTTTCGAATTCGCGTTTATTCAGGATTCGTTGCACGGTCCATCTTTAAGCATTATATATAATTATGCAAATTAGATTTCTCGACTAACTCTCGAGTGCCTCCAAATTCACAGATGAATGTAGAGACTATTATTTACTAAAATAATCTGATATTTTTTACTTACTTTAGTACAAGTTCCGAGGAAGCACATGAATCATTTATTGAATCAATTTGTGATATAGTTGGATCGATTTAAATTTTGATTATTTTTACATTATATTATTTTACATTATAAATATATGGTTTCTATATTTCCTTGGAATTACAGCATTTGAATGTGAAATAACGACTTTATTTCCCGTTTAATATTCGATTTTGACGTACCATAATTTCCAAGAAAATACAAGAGTAATTCAAATATCAATTAAATAAACATTACCTTCATCGGATCCTGGTCGGAAAAATCGAGTAGGGTCTCGCAGAAAGCTTTGCCGATCTGTTCGTAATCCTGAGCGGAGAAATGAGTCCCGCATCTCGAGCCAATTTTGGAACCACCCATAGATGCCTCCATGGTGTAACTGTTCTGAACACCCATCGACCATACGACCACTCTACCCGTTCCTTCCTTTCCCTTCTCAACGTGGAATTTGCAATTTTCGAAAGAAAACTAGAATCGTAATATCAGAAAAAATTACTAATGTAACTTGCATATAATAATGAACAATGAAATAATCGGAGTCAATTAAAGAGAAGATTATATATTGCATAATAAAATATTTTCGAATACTCTTTCTTGCAAAATTTCTTATAGTCTTTGAAACTCATCAATTTTAATTTAAATTATTTCTATTGTTAAAATTAAGCTTTTTATATTTTTCCTGGATCTACTGTATTTTACCTTGTCAGCTGCGTTTTTGTGAAGCATCAACGGAAATACTTGTTCCGATAATTTTCCGTTGCATCCAGCTCTTTTGCTCTCGCATCCGTAAGCGAATATATTGTGCTTTCTCGAGTGAGCATGAAGGTCACAGTATATCGCGACTCCGCATTCTTCGAGGAGCCTTCGTATCATTAGCTTCGTATGCCACACGGACGGATAGCTCTCTCGCATCACGGTTCTATATTGCCGGTTCAAGTCCTTACCAGACAGGGAACATCTATTGTTGCCAACTATGACGCCGTCCGGATTCAACATTGGCACTAGTTTGAAGACGAATCTCTCCCTGAGCTCCTGTAACAATCACGCGATATCAGTTATTGAATTATTTCTTGGTCCTCTTCAGCGCAAACTTCTTTATAGATTCGATAAAATTGTTCTTCAACGATACATTATTCGCTAATTCATGTTTACGTACATTAGTATTTCTATTTCCTTGAATATTTTGAATATTTATGTATATATAATTATAAATAGGTACGTCTTACTCTGGCTCGGTTCGTGTCGCTCGTGAGGAAGTCGATAATGCCCTTCATCGTCCAGCTCGATGGAGTCTCACCTGGATGCACCCGAGCCGTGATAACGACACCCCTTTTCCTCCTCACCTCTTCGTCATGTGTCGGTGCGGTGATGGTCAAGTAATAGACGCTGTTTCCGGCCAAGCTGCGGCACAGCAAGCGCAGCTTGGTGAATCTCGTTTTTGCGGGGTCGGCCACGATTTTGCCGAGATACTCCTGGCATGTTTATGCGCGTAATTAGAGGTAGAGATTTAATCTACGGGACGCAACAAATACAATCGGTCGCTGGGAATCGTTTACGCTTAGGGTGATAATCGCGATGGAAAAACAAGAGGCGGAATGTGAAATAAATTCCGCGAACAATAATATTTTTAACGACTGTGGGAACGCATTCCATGCAACAAATTACTACGGGAATTCTTGTTTAGCTGTACATCTTGTTTTCTCGTGTGCCGTAAGGAGGTGAGAATCGATCGAAACAAAGTCCGCGAGTGAGATATAAATGTTGCTCATGATTTATGGACTGTTATTTGTAGAATGGCAAATGCAATTTGCATACCTGAAGATCGGTGTACGTGTACGGATAGCAATGCGCCAAGTAAACGATGTCCCGATCGTGAGGAAATGAGATATTGAACGTTAACGTGTGTTTCTCCCTCTCCTCGTCGCTCCTACAATGATTTATGCAATTTTAACTGCGAGACTCATAATTCGAAATTTTCCATTACTCACGATGAATCGTTATTCCGGTAATATGCGATATTGTCGCCGCATCTTCTCCATCCTACGGATCGAGTGCGAGCGTCTTCCGTAGAATAGAGAAGAGGCTTGAGACCTTCGTTGTAGAGACTCTCCTCTTTGCACATATTCACGATCGAGAATCTGTAATAATAATTTACACAATTATTTTGTGGAGACGAAATTATGTATGTTTATATAATATTTATAAGTTCACTAATTATTTATATAACTATATTTAGTAATAATTCTACACAAAGTTTGTTTGAATGATATTAAATATCATATTATATATTATAAATATAAAATTAAATATCATATTAAATATAAAATTAAATATCATATTATATACATATAGTTTGACGCTTACAATTAACTTGAAAAGATTAAAAAAAGCTAATAATAATAAAATAACAAAAAGCAAATTTTTTAAACAACAAAAATTTCAATTGTATATTTTTTTAAAATCTGAATTTGGACTATTTTCTTTAAATATGAATTTGAACTCAATTTCACCTGTATGTAATTCTGCTTCTCGTGTTTGATACTTTGAAATAGTACCATTGCGTATGCCTCTGAGTATAGAGATCTCTTCTTAGATACAGCTGGTAGTACGTATCAGTTATTTTCACTACTTTGCCGAGATTTCCGGACTCGAATCGTGACTCGAATCGCAAATCCGTGCTGTCCTCTTTCGGTTGAGATGCCTCGGCGACAAGAAAAATATCGTTCTCGTTGGCAGCATCCTTAGTATCTACAGTGCACGTGTTTGAATCCTCGGGAACCTCCGTGGGGAATGGTAATACCGTACTACCGCCCACGCAAGATCGGCTAAACTGTGGAAATAATGAACCCTCATTTCCTCAGACTCTTAACATTTTTATCCTCATTTTATTTCTCATTTTAATATTCTAGAAATAATAATGTTCGTGGGATTCGTGCATTACTAAACACTTGTAATGGTTTATTGTATATTAACTATCGATTATCTATTTTATTATACAGGATGTCCCAGTTATCTTCCGTCATCTTTCAAAGACAGATTCCTGGGATCATCTGAAGACGATTTTTCCTCAACGAAAATGTCGATGCACTAATAATTGTCGAATTATAAGTGATTGGAAATAAGGGGTTTTTCGTAAACTTCGTAAGCTTTGTAGAAATAAAATATTAACAAAACCACATTCTTCGATTAGTTTTAAATAGAGTTTACTTTAGTTGAGTTTTAATTTAAGACTTAATTGCAAAGATGATGACAAAAATCGGGAACATGCAAAAAATTATGGCCTTCATTGACATTTTCGCTGAGGAAAAATCGTCTTCAAATGATCCCAGGAATCTGTCTTTGAAAGATGACGGATGATAACTGGGAAACCCTGTATATTGATCGAATATACACGGATTAGTTTACGTACACACATCTACATATACGTGTATTATCTCTATTAGATATTTCTCGATGACTTACGTAATTAGTAACGTTGGTCGGACAGTAACGAAATATCACCGTTCCAAGCTCGTCGCTGATCGGCTTCGGTCTTGGTTCCTTCCCTGTTGGAATGTAAAAGGCTTCCGGAGTAGAATTGTATTCTATGTGGCGAATTCGTTCTGGGATTACCTAAAGAATTATTTTGCTCCGATTAATTGGATATTTAATTAGCTTACATCGATTAAAGTGAAACAAATTAATAATTTTTCGTGTAATGTCTTCTCAAGAAATTCAGATGATTATTATCAAATTTATCTTTAAAAACAAAGGATTTGTTGTTTTTGTGATTCTGATGCCAATTCTTGCTCTCTTGCAAATGACGGCAAGTGCATTAATTCTTACCTGACATTCGGTTGGCCACCTGGCCGCTTCCTGAATACTTCCGTCAACGATGCAACGCGCATCGAGAACCGCTCGAAGGGTTTCCTTCGACGAGTATCGATGCCTAGACAAACTCAGGGGTATCGCGAACAGCGCCGATTCCGCATCCCGTCTCAGAGTCGGGCCATCGTAATGTTCAAGCTGAGACACTTGCAACTCTTGTGGCGCTAGATCAGAAAGCATGCCACCTGCATCGTTAAAAAAAGAATTTGTTTTAGTATTATGTTGCAAAAAAAAAATAAAATTATGTTTTCTGTAAAGTTAATGCTTTCGTTCATCTACCTAATGGAAAGATATTTAAATGAATACGGAAAATTATACAGTAAATTGACGATTAATGATGTTGTAAATTTTCAGAATTAATTTATATGGAAAAAATTTAATAATTTAATAATCGTTTATTCGCGGACAATTAGCTATCCTACAATGATATATATGTAAAGTAATTATATTAACAAATAAAAGAAGTGTATTAAAATAAAATAAATATTTAAATTTGAAAATTAAATCATTCATATGAGTATGTAATATATATCATAATGATAGGCATTACATCTTATTGTTAGAGAATGTTGAACCTGACCGCACATGAGAGATCGATTGGGTACAATGTCCGCGGCAGTGTTTGCGACCTCACCGACATCTTCATTACATTGTTATAAATGCATTGTTTAAATGCATTATTTCTCCATTGAATAATAAATCGGAGAATATATAGAAATTAATTTGTAGTGAACAATGACGCTAATTTTATTGCTAATTTTAAATTGTAGGTAATTATTCTTTCCCTTCGTTAAGACTCACCTGGGATGGGTTGAATCGGAAATAGCATAGCTTGAAGCTCTCTCACTCTACTGCTCGATACCGCCTTCATCATCTTTCGTTATCTCTCATCAGTTTCGTCCTCATCTTGTTCTTCTCGATTATCGACGTCCACTGCGAGTATCGGCGACGTTCTTCCACCTTTAGCATTCTCGTGCCAATCCGTGTAATCCTCCCTCGTCGGTACTTCCTCCCCGAGGAGATACTTGACAATCGGATTCTTCATCTTTATCCATGTACGTTTACATTCTCATCTCTCGATCTGCTTCTCGCGACAGATTATATCGATTGATCTTGTTGTCTTTCGCACGGTTATAATTAATTATGATAACTTAAGATTTATTACTCGTTTTATAAAGATCAGTAAGTTCGAAGATATTTAACATCTCTTTCTCGATGCAGAAGAGATTCCTCCTATTTTATCTAAAGAAAAACAACATCTATATGTACACTTATATACATATGTATATTTCTCTAGACATTCTATATACATTATAAATTGTAACTTTATCACCGACATATATATAATTAAAATTGATTAAAAAATCAGAAACCTCGAAATTTGATTACTTTAACTCTTTAAACTTCTGATGAGACATCAACTAAATCAATCACTGACACTTCGAAATAATGATAAATAATGCGAAATAACGATAAATGATCGCAAGACGAAAGTGAGTCGAGAGTAAATAAATGGGAAAGCTTATGGGGATAGGCAATCGAGAGGGTACAAGTTATTAGAAACTATTCGGGATTTGCGGTAGCTTCGACCTGGCGAACGCTAGAGAGAAACCTGGCCCGCGTTGCTGAAGAGATCGAGTGGAACGTTCCCTTGGATGATTGCCTGACAACCGTCGCGAATCGTGGGCGGAGCCACGACCTGAACGATTGTTCGTTAACCGTTCTCGTTCCAGAAAACCGCCGGCGCGGCCGCGGCTCATCGACATAATATCTCGCCGGGCTCGGTAATTCCGACATTCTCTATCGACGTTTCCAAAGCTCCATGAAAGCTCGTTAAACTTGCGACCGACACGGGAAATACCATCGCGGAAAATTCGAGTCGTGTTTAAAGATATTAAATACAACTGGAAAACTATTGTTGGTTTGAGTTTTTCATTCGTGTTCTTAATTTATTTTGGCGATATTTTAGCCAAATTATGTTAATTTTCTTACCCGTCGATGTGTCATTTATTTTGCTATCCAATTTGTTACAAAAGAGACTTATTATAAAATATGAACCAGAACAAAGTTTTATCCAAAGAGTTGTCTCAATGATAAGAAAATTATATCTTTTATTTTTTATTATTTTACATTAAAAAATACGCTATTATTTTATTATTAAATAAGAATGTAATTTATCATAGAGCAATAACAAGTGTGATTCAATTATACAATTTCCAACTCGAATATCTTTATATTCATATATTTTATTTTATTTTTTTTATATTTTTGTTATCCAAAAGTTATCTTTCTAATATATGCCTTATATAAATAATATCAAGTTAGTATTTTAAGATAACATTTAAATCATAGCGAATATTATAAAGATTGCTATATACAAGAGGATTTAGAAGGTAGTCTACTTGGCCGTACCGGGTTTTCCGTCCACATTATTGATCAATCAACGCGCGCGTCGGACTAAGCAGAACAAAACGTTTCAGTTTATCATCTTGGAGCGATCGATAGGATTCCAATTGATAGGATTAGCTGGCAAGTTGCCGTCAAAAGTTCCATCAACCGTACACGCAACTTTTAACAGTCCGGTCTAGTCGTATTATAGATAATATTGTCGTCCAATTACATACGAAATATAGGCATTAATGCAATTTTCAATTTCTACGGACTATTCTTACTTTCAGCTTAATGCTTGACTAAAATATTTCATTTCGTATCGGCGATATTGTAATGATATCTATATTATGGAGTCTTGAAATATTTAAATGTCTATACTATTAAAGTTTTTATTAAAGTTTACTGTGTATCTCTAAAGTAATATTTGTGTTACACGATCTTATAGAAAAGTTTTATTTTCCAACATAAATGAAATGTCTTGAATATTTGCTTATTTATTTCAGGTAAAAGTATCTCAAAAATCGCGTAAGAAGTAATACTCGAGACAAATTCAATATGGGACGTACGGTGACCGTCGCTGTTTGCACATTAAACCAATGGGCGATGGACTTTGACGGGAATAGTAGAAGAATCTTGCAGAGTATACAAGAGGCAAAAGATGCTGGTGCCACTTATAGAAGCGGACCGGAGCTAGAGATTTGGTAATTGCATTTGAAAAGATTGATTTTGCTGTTTGTAAAACTTTTATAGGAATTGCTTTTCGATTTTTTCAAGAGTAGAGTTTTGTGGCATTTTAATTTTCTACTTAAATATTAATTCTTAAATATTTATTCAACAGTGGTTACAGCTGCGAAGATCACTTTTATGAATCGGACACGTTGCTTCATAGCTGGGAGGTTTTAGCGAGCCTTTTAAAGTCAAGCATTTGCGAGGATATACTGATAGACGTGGGAATGCCGGTGATGCACAAGAACGTGACGTATAATTGCAGAGTGGCTTTTTTGAATCGGCGGATTTTACTGATTAGACCGAAAATGCGGCTCTGCGAGGACGGTAATTACAGGGAAAGCAGATGGTTCTCTCCTTGGACAAAAGTAATGAAACATTGTGCTCTACAATCGATCGAAAGTTGCGATCGTGCACGCGATAATTCGTTATATTATCTTATTGGATATGTTAGGAACGTACCGTCGAGGATTACTTCCTGCCGCGAATGATATCGCAAGTCACCGGCCAAACCATAGTGCCATTCGGAGATGCAGTTATCGCTACCAGAGACACGTGCCTTGGTTTTGAAATATGCGAGGAACTTTGGCATCCAGCCAGCAATCACATTCCTATGTCATTGGACGGCGTGGAAATTATTGCAAACGGTAAAACTGCATTTGATGCTATAATACTCTTTTTCTTTTTTCATTTCTTTTATCACGTCTTTTTATACTTTACAATATACATCTTAAAATGTACAACAATCATGATTGTATTGATTTTTATCCAATCGTTTGCTTTAATTGTATATGTGATTGAAAATTGGACAATTATTGAAGAATAATATTAATTTGTTCTTTTCAACCAAAAGGAAGTGGTTCGTATTTCGAACTGCGTAAAGCATACGTCACTGTGGACCTCGTTAAATCGGCTACTTTTAAAGCTGGCGGCTGTTACATGTTTAGTAATTTACGCGGATGTGATGGGGGCAGATTATATTTCAACGGTGGCTCCAGCATCACTCTCAATGGCAACATATTAAATCGCGGAAGACAATTCGCTCTCGAGGATGTCGAAGTGACCATCGCCACGTTCGATCTCGAAGATATAAGGTTTTGATCTGGACCAACTATTCCAGATAGTGATATCGGTACTTGATTACGCCGCAAAAGTATCGGATAATACTCGAATATTCTTCGATTCATTTCGAAATAATTAGCAAAAAATTCTTCAGATATCGAGTTGCTATTTGGAAAATAATGTAACATGGAATAATATAATGCATAGTTATAATATTCAATCTCCCTTGGCAGGAATTATCGAAATAGTATCAGATCGCGATCACATGCGGCAGCTGCGTCGCAAAGTTATCCGCGCGTTAAAATCGACTTTGCGCTCACGCCAGAGAATCTTATGTCGAATCCACCAGATCGACCGCTCGACGGAATCCAAGATATATATGATGATGAAGACGGGCAATCGAAACTTGTATATCATACCGCAGAAGAGGAGATTGCGATGGCACCCGCGTGCTGGTTGTGGGATTATCTTAGGTAGAATAGAGTCCTTAAGATGTTTAATCTTTCAATATTCTCTTTTTGTATGACATGATTATAAAAATATTAATTTATATTGTGCCTATCACATGTATTTTAGGCGATCTTGTCAAGGAGGATTTTTCTTACCATTGAGCGGCGGCGTAGATTCATCTTCCTCAGCATGTATCGTATATTCGATGTGCGAAATGATTGTCGAGTCGGTCAGTAAAGGAGGTAAGATATGTACACCGTCTTCTCTTAATCTAAATTAACGAAAATTTAAAGAAATTATGTTTTGCATTCAGATACGCAGGTTTTAGCAGACATTAGGAAAATTGTCGGCGATTGCGAATACGTACCGATCGATCCGAAACAATTATGTAACACTATCCTGGTCACGTGTTACATGGGAACGGAAAATTCATCGGCAGAGACCAAGATCAGGGCAGCAGAATTGGCCAGTCAGATAGGATCCTATCATCACGGTATAGTCATAGATACCGCGATATCTGCGATTTTAGGGATTTTTCAACAGGTTACCAAGCTGACGCCGAAATTCAAAGTGCAAGGTGGATCGCCTAGAGAGAATTTGGCGTTACAAAATGTGCAGGTAATCGCTCAGTATCTTTGATCGATGGCACTAATATCTTCATCATTAAATTACTCACTTTTATATTTCTAATATTTCGCTTTCAGGCCCGATTACGAATGGTGATCGCTTATTTATTCGCTCAATTAATGTTATGGGTCAGAGGTCGTCCGGGTGGTCTCTTGGTATTAGGGAGCGGTAACGTGGACGAAGCCTTACGCGGTTATCTCACCAAATACGATTGCAGTAGCGCTGACGTTAATCCTATCGGAGGCATCGCAAAAAACGATCTAAAAAGATTCCTTGTTTACTTTAAGTATGTGTGTGTACGATAATTTGTGTATAATACTAATAATACATTATACGATATACATTATAATTATATAGTATACAATAATTATATAATTATATATAATTATAAATTATACGATAATTATATGAAAATTATATAATTATACATTATACGATAATTTGTGATACTAACAATACTTACATGTTCACAAAGTTAAAAATTAAGATAGTAAAAATCGTACTTTTCATCTTTAAATTTCAGACGCAAACACGGGATATCTGCTTTAAACGGCATCCTGGAGGCACCACCCACAGCGGAATTGGAACCGCTGCAAGCAGGACAGCTCGCACAATTGGACGAAGTAGACATGGGTATGACTTATAAGGAGTTGTCGATCTTTGGACGACTGAGAAAACAAAATTGTTCCGGACCTTTCACAATGTTCTGCAGACTTGTACACATGTGGGATCATTGTACTCCGAAAGAAGTAAATATGCACGCTTTAATAGCAAGTTGCAAGTTCTCTTTGAGCTAAATTTTCAATAACTCCTATTTCAGGTTGCCGATAAAGTAAAACACTTCTACAGGTGTTATGCTATAAATCGTCACAAAATGACCATATTGACTCCATCTTGCCACGCGGAGACATATAGTCCCGATGATAATCGATTCGATCACCGTCCCTTCCTTTATAATTATTCGTGGAAGTGGCAGTTTGCGGCGATCGACGAACAGGTGAGAATTATGCGGAAAAAAGTTTATCTTGCCTCAAATTCTAAAATATCGGAATGTGAGAGGAAACGCCGTGCCGCTGAAGTAATATCGCGATTAAACTGCACATGTGAGAATACGATACGTTATGCCATGAGATCTCGTATGCAACGTAGAGCTTGGTATGTCGCGCGCAAGATGACTCATAAAGGATGAATTTTCTTATTGGTAAAACTTCATCGTCGAGTCCAATTCGTATCTATGACGAGATCGAGCTAGAAAAGTAATTAATATGTTGAGTTTTCGTACATTTCTCTCAAGGTTAGCAAGGAAATAATTAAATAACACAGTAGTATAGATTATATAATATGATGGCATAATAATGCGATACCTTGCTAATTCCTGGAAATCTCATCTTTTTTCTTTATAATTTCATTGTGGATTAAATTTAGGTAAAACGACTCAACAGCGAGGAGAAACCATCCAGACCGCATAAGGCTGCTCCGAAAGTGCTCACCAAGCCTCGATACATGCCGTTCAGCTCCGTAATCAGCAGTGAGTAAACAAAAGTGCCCGCATTAATGAAGCACTTCGAGCACAACGCATTTTGGCCGACAAAATCATCCTAATCGCTAAAATATGGCGAAAACACCCACCGGAAAACCTACCTCCAGAGCTGCACACAGACAGATCGAAATGATCTGCCTCGAAATGTCGAGCCAACTTATGCACACCTATATTCTGTCACCGTGCTTTTCGCTGCTTCTATCGTGGAGTATTATCGTCATCATTCTCTGTTACAGATAAGACCCATCCAGGAATAGTAGTTTAACCGTAGCCGTAGCACTCTCTTATCATTTTGATATTGCAGCGCTGCGATAAATGGATGATAAGTAACCTGTACTTGGAACAAATGATGGACTATAATCATCAATCATCGCTCTCGAACAAATTTACATTTAAGAAAGTTATGTGAACACATGTGAAATATCAGTAAAAGATATTTTGTGAAAGCTGAAGTTTATGACACTTGAAACAAATAAATCTATTAAAAATGTATATAATAAAGAGTTGTGTAAATTTTAATTCTAATGTACTTTCCAGAATATCCAAAGATTTTTGAAAATCTTGAAACTAATAAAATTTAATGAATGGTATAATTGCAGACATATCAGATACACATTGTATAGAAATATGTAAAAAATTCTTATATAATTGAAAATTTAACTTTGAGATCCTTTGCCTTAACTAAAATCTAAAGAGCAAAACATAAAGTGTAAAAAAAGTATAATATCAAGGCTAATATCTGGATATCTGGATAGCTTTATGCTTTTACAATTCATGTCACACATTAACTTGTAAAGTATATGTATAATTTTAAATTATTCCTATATCATACAAGAGCAATATAAAATACATAATTATTAAACGAACGATGATTATATATAAGGCGGAATATCAAATAGCTATATTTATCGAGTATATATATATATAATATTAATTTTTATTATCTTTCTTCTCTCACAAACATATAAGAGCGCGTAACCACATTTTATCGTTAACATACGATTTATAAAGATCACTAATGGGCACCTGGACTGCTCAATGAATGCTCGCTTAATAATTAGTAGATTAGATTCGATTCTGTTCTGTGCCCTATCTTGTAGATTGAAAGTTATATTTGGGAATGAAATTTATAATATCTTCCACTGTGTTGTGTAAAGACAAATCTACGAACAGAGAACCACAATTTTTTATTGTAATAGGAAACGTAAAGAAAATGTAATCTTGCATCCTAGGAATGGAGATGGGAATACAACAAAAAATGCTGATCTGACCTGACTCGGCCTAACGATCGTTAAGTACGCTATGTAAACGTCAGTGTCTGGATAATGCAATCACGCTCTAATGGAAATTTACAATCTTGTGGGACACATACACAGCATATTAGACATTCATGTGTTGATTTTTAACTGCATTTTAACTTTTCCGTTTTTTCGCTTCAAAGTTGTGATACATCTATTTTGTCTAAGCGCCAAAAGTGGAGCTAAAAGCTGTATTATACATAATACGCGAATTCACATGCATACGCATACAATCAATGAACCACATATACGCTCTTATAAACAATAATAATAATTAATAATAATATCCATGCATGCAATCATACACTCGATTCGCAATTATATTGAAAACATGCTTGACAATGTGAAATTTGTCCAATCCAACAAAAATATGCCATCCTGTTATATATATGTATATATACACAGAAAGGATACATTTTTACACTTATATTTTGAGATAAAAATTTTATTCAAACAATGTAAATCATTCTGTTGTTTAAGTTGAAATTTCACAGGTTGTCTACAAAAAGTATATAAAAATATGATATAATTATATGATTATATAATTGAAGAAATATATTTTGGAATAAAATTTTTTAAGAACTCGAAATATACATATATAATGTGCTTAAATGATAATTAGTATAAAGTATTTTTATTTTTCAAGATTGGATAAATTACGCACGTTATGCCATAAAAATTCTCTAACCATAATCGCTCATTTTTTTCTGCAAGAAGAAAGTCGCTTCTACAACCATTCGATAAATATAGGACAATATATCCTGTATATAAAGAATTATCTATAATATTATTAATAAAGTCAATAATTAAAGTTATCATTCAGGGCTTTAATAATAATAGTTATGATAATAATAATAATATAATATAATATAATAATAATAATAATATAATAATAATAATAATAATAATAATAATAATAATAATATACTAATGACAAATTATTAAGTACTAAGGAGATGAAAAGAATCGAATGCTTCAAAAAATCGAGCATCTCTTGTAAATATCAAAATAATAATAGTACATTTTAATGATAATGATCGAGTCAAATTTCAAATCGAAAATTTTTGCTGAAGAAATAGGTGCAATTTGTTTTGCGACTGAATACTGAACGTAAATTAAATAGCAATGAAAATACATATATAGCATTATCATTAAAAATATAATGTTAATAATAATAAAAATAATTATAATTATAATTATAATATTAAGACGGCGTAATACACGCGCAACTTGTTCAACTTGAGTGCACGATGACAAATATCATTATCCTTGAGTATTTTCTCCAAGGTATAGGTGCAATATTCTCATACTCCAGTTCTCGCGCGTTCTTCGCTATACAAAATATTGTATACATCATTATTGTTTAAGCAAGAAATAATCGCGGATTAACCGGTGCCCGTATATGTGTGCGTAATGTTTCCGCCGCTGATATAACTATTTACAATATGCAGGGATGAGCATCTCTCGGCGGAGCGTCAGCACCTATGCCGAAGTAAACGAGCTTAAAAAAAAAGATGAATACAATTATATATGTAAGAATTAAATATCAGCATAGTCTCTCTCTATTTGTATCCTATTTACAATAACAAAGATCGAATGCTCTCGGCATGGTATTATTAACCATCGGACAGGGACGCGTTTTGTGATATATGAGCGAGGATATTTTAAGAATAATAAATCTAAAATTGAATAAAACACTCTGCTGTAAAAACACTTATACAGTAAATATCAAATACTATTAAATAGTTCAAGTGATGAAAAAATAACACGAGTCAAATAGCAAAGCAATTGCTCGACTTATTATTAATATAAAAATTGCAATGGGCAAGTTAGCGCATAAGCGCGCTCCGATAAAAAAGCGTTTTCGAAAAACACTAATTGAACATTTAATGAACCAATTCAACACAAATGTAATAAATAACATGTAATAATAATGGTGATTATAAGATAAATCGAAATCGATTACGTAACTTCTCAGTATAATATGAATGTGAAGGTCTTTTAATTTTACAATTTGTATTCCTACATGTGAGAATAGATGACGTTTGGTATTTTATGGAGCATTCGCAAGTATTATATTATATTTTCTCGCGCTCGCCCGAGGTTTAAAAGACTGTTTCGAGAGGTCGTGCTTTAAGGAGATGCGGCTTTTTTGACCCTTTGACAAGCGCATTTCGAATATTTTGCCGCGAGAAGCAAATCAACACTACGTATAATTATATATTTATATGTATAAATATATATCATATACATTTAATGTACATATATGTATAACAAAATGTATAATCTATATATAATACAGATAAATATAATAAAAGATTTTCTACATGTGATACAGAGATGTAAAAAACGTAGTGTAAATCGAAGAATTTTGTGTCGTAACATTGCGTTTCAAAGAGTTAATCTTCCGATCTCGCAATAAGCCCGTTGACCAACACAGTATTGAACGCTTTAAATTTAAAGCCCGCAATGTTTCTTTTCATAGCGAGCGAGTCCACGACTCGTGTGTCTACGATCCGGAAAGAACCGAGCGAAAATATATGTATACCGGTTGTGCCCGATCCAAGTCCTACCACCTTAGAATTGCACGAAATCCCGTTTCATGTTTTTGTGTATATACATGTATGTGTGTATGTGTGCGTGTATGTGTATGTGTATTGCATGCATATGTGCGCGTATGTATATATGTATGTACGCATGTATGTGTGTACGATGTGTATGCGTGCCTCTCCTGTCCCATCCCTAAGCCCAAAAAACCATGGTGCAAGAGTGGAAAAGCAAAATGGAGTGCATAAAGGAGCAAGTAAATTGTTACTCTTATCATATCACAGATTACCCAAAGTGCGCATCGATTGGGGATTTCATTAAATATATACATATCATATATATGCGTGTATATATATATATATATATATATATATATATATATATATATAGACATATATGTGAGTATGTATGTGTATACATACTGTATACTATCAGTGTTTAGAAATATAATCCCATGAGAGAATAACTAAATTAAAATTTATAATAAAAATGCAGTAATATTTTATTTATCAATTAGTAATTAATTTAATTCTTCTTTTAGTTGAAAGGAGTCTAAATTTAATAATAAAATTATTGATTATATTAACAACAAAATAAAAATGTAAATTTTACTTTTTAATTACAATCGATTTTTTTTAGGTGTGCCAAAAATCAGCAACATTCTTCTAAGCCAATATTTTATTCTTACTACTCACATTGCCTAATTAGAATAAAAAAATCGATTGAAAAATGCAACATTTTATATGCCATTAAAATAACAGTGGAAATTGAGGAAAGATTTGAGGAAATTGAGGAAAGATTGAGCAATATCTACTAAAATGAAAAAAAAATCGACTCTCTGATTATTCCTCTAAACATCAATAGCTCGAACTCTATTTTTCAATAATGATACAGTGCAAGGCCATTTTTTCTTCAAAAATCTTGCCCTGTTCTGTAACTTGCGTTCAAGCAACTTGAAAATTTTGTTCCATTCCCCAATGCCCAATCAAAGATAATGGAAGATTCGTGACGCAAATCGCGATCAGAGAAACTACTCCTTTCTGATAATCGCGACGTCAAGAATTCCATTTTTTGCGCGCGTGTTTACCCATCGAGTCGAAAAGCAACGTAACTCGCCGTACATCTCTAAGAAAAAAAAATCATCCGTATGATAGCGCTCTTTTCCCTCTCCTCGGCTTGCTTGCCGAAGATTATCCGCATTCCTGAAACGTTCTATCCGAGTCTTTGGGTTTGCTCGGTGTTGCGCCTCCGGTCAATTATTAATATACCATCTAAAATCTACATATGCGATTGTATTTTTTACGGTGTGTGGTTGTATGTATGTATCTTGCACACGCGTGCGCACGTGCGTGAATGAGTATACATGTCTTATGCAATTTCTTTGTAATTCAGTATCAGTCGTTATAGAGAGTTCTAAGATATCATTATAAATTAATGTTAATTAATCATATAGTTAATCTGAATTAACTATACAATTAAAAATATTAAACTATAAAAAAGATATATTTTCTAGAAATAATTAAAAATTCAGAGCATTGTCCGAAAATGTTTTGTAGATTTGTAGTGTTACAAGTTTACAAGTCCGTTAAAAAATTCTCTGCTCGATATATAATTTAAAAACGATATGTCATCTATATTGATTGTTTCAATAGATGAAAAATTTTCACGAACGCTATGACGAACATTACGCATACTAATATTCCTTTTGAAATATTTATTCTTTTTCATTGGTACCATCTTTTTTAGAGAATTTCCAGAGAAAGGAAGAATAACGCATAAATTTAATCATACAAGTTTCAATGTAAAAGAGAAGCTATAATATAACAATCAAGCATTCGATTTCGCTTATTATTATCGCGACTCTCTTACTCTATTTTCTTATTTTTCCTTCTCCTCCTCTTCTCATCTTTTTCCTCTACCCATAGATGGGTTTGAGGCGGCGGAATCTAGTTGATCGCACAGAGATTTAATCCTATCGCCTTCGGACTTCGATATTTGTGTGTTCCAGTGTCACCGCTATGGGAGCCACCTGCAGGTACTTTTTCGCGCGACGTCACTCCCTTCGTCGACCTAACTTCGAAGAGATCCAGCCCGATCGATTGACGTCACTCGCCCGGGTCGCCGATGATGGATTCAGAAGCTGGTCGTGGTCTGTTGGTGCGTCGCCTCCGTGCTCTTTGAGACTGTCTCTCGTCGCTCCGCGAGGCTGCAGCTGTCCGTGTTCCGCAAGTCCCGTTGCAACAGGCCACCCTGAAGAGTTACATCAACAAGAACAATTTCGTGTTCTTGTATACCGCGCTGTGTATTTTGTTTTGTTCGTTCGAGTATCGAAGCCTCCCTATATCAGACGTTGATTAATCTCAACGTGCAATCTTCTACTTAAAACACAAGTTTCAAGACTAATATCGTCTTTACGCGTCTGTGCCCACCTGGAGCAACATATTGGCGAAGTTACTATTGGTGAACTTGAAGTGCCGCTTGTCGTAGAACTTTAGTAGCGCCGGACTGTAAGGATGCTGTTCCTTCAGATGAAGATAATGCACTTCCGGCTCATGCGTGGTATGTCCGCATTCCTCGCAAACGTACATCTATCAAACAAAATGCGAATAATTTATAAAGCGGATTGAAATGGATTTATGTAAAAAAAAAAAAGATTCATGCAATGAAAAATAATGCAAACAATACATATATATAATATTGTTTTAAAATATTAAAGAGAAAATCGCATAAAGAATTAATTTGTTAAAAAAAAATTCTCAATGAAAAGTTTACCTTAGCACGTCGCTCTTTATAAGCATACTGATGTTGAACGCCATGAACCTTCTGACCGTGACTTTCCAGGGAGCACCTTTGCGTAAAACTTTTCTCGCAAAGGAAACACTTGTAAGGTCGCACGCCCGTATGTGTTCTCGTATGCCTTTTGAGGTCGAAAGTGTCATTGAAGCCCTTTCCACAGAACGTGCAAAGATAACGTTTTACATCGCTGTGACACTTCATGTGACGATTAAGAAGCCGCTGAAGGCTAAAGTTTTTGCTGCACACGCGGCAAGTAAAACGACTGGGATCGTCATCCTATTGAACAAAGAATATTTTTTATTGTAACAGCTTCTTATAATATCGCAGCAATACATGAGATTCGATACGATACATTTCATTATATTTCATTACAACATAATCATGTCTTTAATAATGGCAATCGTATATTGGCATTTGTATACATACAAAATTCACAAAATACTCGTATTACCTTGCTAGGTGGAGTTCGATTCGTTCTTTCTTCATCTCGATTGGTTCCAGGCTGCCTTTGGCCTTCGACAGCTAAAGGATTCTTTATGCCGTGACCCCCGTTAACAAATTCTAGCTGACAGTCATTCGGTAAACCCAGCTGTGAAACCATAAGATGACAGATTAATACGAGATCAGTTCCTCGAAGCGCTGGGTGACATCGGATGAAGCACTCAAATTGATTGACATTGCATAATATATAAGTAAGAGTGGCAATTAAACGAGCTACTCTTTTCTACATCATGGTATATATACCGAGTTGTACGTTATTATACGAGTTATATCAGAACAATTATTGGCGAACTTGTTCAAATGATTCGATCGGGATATAGTTCGAATAATTTGCGGTTCGATCGCGAATAAGCCTGAAGGAGGATCGAATCAATTCAATCCCTCTTCCGGAAAGTAATTTAACGCGAAGATATATGCTTTTGCCTGAATCAATTTGGGTTGCTTACCCTTTGTTGAAGTACACCGACCCGTTGCGAGAGAGGTGGTTCCCCGACTGCTCCAGTGGTTTGCGCTGCGACTGTGGTAGGTGATACGACTGGACTGTGCGCGTGTTCTGCTAGCGCACATGACGGTGAAGTGCCAGACGATGCCCCGTCCAGAGAACAGCTGCCAGTGCCGGGACTAGGCAGACTTCCCCCCACGCTGCTACCAGAGTCCAAATCTAAACCTTTAAGATTTAAAAATTGAACTAGTTGATGCAAATTTAGTCCTAAATTGACAAATCTGTTCTAGCGAAAATTTTTCTGCATTATCATTTTTTAAATTTAACTTTCTTCATTTTAATAAAGAGAAGAAATCGATTTCTTAAATCAATATATCCAATATAAATCAATATCCAAATATCCAATATATTCAATATAAATTAATATATCAATATATCCAAGTTTCTCAACAATTACCGTTACTAAAATTCAATCCGGGGCTTAGAAGACCTTGATGCTGCTGCTGCTGCTGCTGTTGTTGTTGATGCGGCGACGAGGCAGCTTGTTGCTTCTGCTGTTGCAGTTGCACTTGAATTTGCAACTGTTGATCTTGCTGATGCTGCTGATTCTGATTAACATGCAGCGCGAGTTCCGGCCGTTCCTTCGGCAATGGCTGATAACTCGATTCTCCGGTTGCATAATTCAAGCTCGCGAGCTTGGACGCGTTAAAGTGTTGCGGAGTCGTGTAATGTCTAAGAAAGGCGATCGATACATTATTTTGCAATCTACTTTGATTGAAACTCGTGCGGTATTCGTTACAGTATTTTTTAATCCCTACACGGAAAGCAAATAGCAAATCAATGCAGGCGTAAAGTGCGGTTAACTAACAAGCGAGAGTTAGTTCTCATGATAGTCGAGACGCTCACCTCGTGTCAAAGCCTCTGGTCAAGGCCATGCTATGCTCAGGGAAAGGATCGACGCTGGGCTCGACGGGAGTGGTCATTTGACCGGCATCTTGACCAATTCCGCTGCTGCCGGTTGAGGCAGGCGAGTGCAATGATTCTTCTAGAAGATCGCTACTTCCGTCCTCGGTTTGCAACCTGGGCAACAAGAGATCGGCGGCATCGCTGAGGCTCTCCAGTAATGCCGTGTGATCAGAGGGTGAGTTGAAGGTCAGAGTACCGGCGGTGAATTGCAACGGATCCACCACGGCGCCAGTCACCATGTCTACCATCATACCCGCGTCGGTGACGTCATAGGAGGCGTACTGGCCAGACAAGAGATCCGGTTGAATTTTGTAACCTCCCAACTCCTCCTCTTCTTCTTTGAACGTCAAGCCGTAGGATGCGCATACATTTGCGCAGACATTTTGAAGGAGAGAATACTGTTTGCCCTCCTGCGCATTATACTGTGCGTGCTGAGAATTGTCCTGCTGACCAGTATCGCATTCAATCCCGACCGCCGTCAGTGGTGTTAGATATGCGTTTCCTGAAATAATAGGACAACAAGTGAATTAGAAAGAGTGTTATTATGACAAAGATTATTTTTTTAAATTTTATTATCTTGTTTTGATAAGTTTACGTGAAATTATATAAAATTTTTTTCTCAACTTTATCAAAAATAATTCTTTCATAATGAGATATTTTTCGAAACAGTTTTTAAAACGAAGCTCAAGAATGTTATAATGATTTAATTTTCACAGTAAGCTACATAAAATCGTATAAATATAATAGTAAAAATTAAAAACAACAGTAAGTAAGAAAACAAAAAGATAAAAATAAAAAAAAGAGCAAAATAATCAAAGTGCAATACATCTAAATAAAGATTTCTTACGCGAGAAAAAATGCATAATTAGTTATTCATCAACCATGAGCAAATGATCTGAATCTATCGCGCACTACACGTTCAAGAAAAAATCAGACTACAGTATCATAACATTGGGAAGAAGTACTATAATATCATAACAAGAAGTAAAAATGAAAAAAATGTAAACTATACTGTACTGAAATATTAAGGTTTATTGATCCAAAAGCTAGATAAAATAAATATCGTTGGTAAACGATTGAATTTAAATCAAATCATAATTGAATTTTGCGAAGATTACCACTGAAAATCAATGTAATTATTTGACATAAAGTAATTACTAATTAGGAATTAATTATTTCTAGTAATTAGAAGAAAATAAAGAAATAATCTTTAAAAGATGTCAAATAATATAATAATATCGTGAATTATCAATGTCATCAACCCGGCAGTATCGTTACACGTCAATTATCATTAAAAAGTTCGAGGAAGTACGACGGAATATCGCGAGATATTCTTACATCATTAATCGTCTTCTTCACGCGAGTGAGATATACAAGTGCTAAATATTAGAAAGAAAAGAGTGTGTTTTTTTTCTTATAAAGTAGAGCACCTTGGGCGGTGTTGTACTGATTGGCGAAGTTGGCGAGATTGTTACCACCCTTCAGGGACTCGTAGAACGGTGGCAGGGACCCCGTTGGCGGCGAGCTCGGCCCGTAATTGCCGCGACCTCCATTACCCCCGGGAGGCATCCCGCCTCCGCCCGCGCCGCCACCCACGGCGCCGCCGCCGCTGCCGCCGCTGCTTCCGCTACCGCCGATCATCGCTCCGTTTCCGCATCCACCGATGCCGCTGTTGGACGAGGAATTACTGGCACCGTTGCCGCCACCGCTGGAGGAACCGCCGTTGCCCGAGTTGGAGGATCTGCCGTGCCCCGCGGCTGCCTGCACTGCCGCGTGCGAGCCGGACAATTTGACGGCTAGCAAAGATCTCGCGATGGAATTGCCGGAACTGCGCGACGCCATTGCGCCATCGCGGCACTTCTCCTCGTCCTCGTCTTTCCGCTTCGGAACCGCATAGTCGATGGGCTGCTCCTAAAATTGTTATTGTCCATGTTATTGTCCATGTTCTCTCGTGTGTTTTTTATTGCGCGCGATATTTCTATCGATGCCTTAACTTTTTTTTAAATCTTTTAGGGTATTCGGAGGATCTTTTTTTTCTCCTTTTTCCTCGTCCCCTTTTTTTCCTTGCTTCCTTCTCCCTTAAAAGCAAACAGCAGGTGTGAAACATCAAATATTGTTAAAAAGAAAAATTGTATTAAGAAGCACATGTAACTACGGACGAACACAATCAAGCGGAAATAGAATGCCACAATATTAAGAATAAATCAACAGATAACATTTATCACAGTGTACACAGATATAGGGATAGATAATTTCAAGCAGGGGGAAGCATGACACTACGAACGTATACGATTAGTGCAATAAATACAGTGGTAAAGCGTCTTATTAAGTATTAATGTTGTTAGGCGCACATTACATGCAATTAACATTTAATAAACTGCAATGAATCTGTCCATCTAGCTCACATATTCTCTCATTCTCTTTTCGCCATTTTCTGGATCAGTCTTCTTCCATCCTTGCTTGTCTTTTGATTCTTCCTTTGTTCTTTCCCTCTCCCTCTCTCTCTTTCTTCATTTTCTTCTTCATTTTGACATTGAAGTTTCTTTTCGCAAGTTTGACCTTTTCTCTCTTCTTTCATCCTCGCAGCTGGTATCTTCTTTTCATTCTTTACAAACATTTCCACAAATCGCCGTTTATCTACCCTTTTACTAAGCGTTAGTATACTTTAGATAGTTTTATTAGATAGGCACTTTTCAAACCAAAGCTTCCAGATATATATCATGATTGCTCTTAATCTAGCTCTCGGCAATCGAGTTAGCTCTACAATTAAATATCTTTCTAATAAACATATGTACACAAGTACGCATATATACACACATATATATACACAAATTGTTATGCATTTCTATTTTTTCTTTTTCTTTTATACGCGCACATGTATGAATTATTATGCATTATGACTGTGCATTTTCAAAGAATTAGTAAGCTTTCGTACTTAAATAGATATCAAAAGCGTCAGTGTACAAGAAACTGCTTGACAGGTTGCAAGTTGAATAATATTACACATAATCCCGCAATATTTCCTTCACCCTTTTTTATCTGTTTGGTCACTATACATAATGTATGAGACGCTGCAAGGATTGTGAGTCGAGATTAACGAAGCGTGACTGCATTAGTTTAAAATAGGGATCTGTTTGACATATTTAAATATCTTAAACTTTAATCATACATCTACTTTATATTTATTTATAAGATATTTATTGTTTCTTGAACTAATAACAATCATGAAATATATTAGTTTTAATTCGGTAGTTACATGTAACTAGCTAAATGTTATCGTTAAATGTTAACTGCTAAATTAGTTGGTTGGTAAAAAAAGAACCGACACGTATAAATACGTAGCCACTTTAGACTCGTTGTTTTTCCAACAAGACGGCAAGGTTCATTCAGCGAACGCGAATTCGTTTACGCGCAATTTACCTGCTCCGGTTCGGGTGCTTGCACCGGATCGACTCTCTCGATCTCGATCTTGTTCCCCTCTTTTCTAGAGGCGGATTGACCTTGCGACGGCACCCTCTGGATAACCGAGACTCTGGTGGGTGGCTCGACTCGGGGCGCTTTCGGCGGCGTCTGCGGCCTCGGCGGAGCGATTCTTTCCGACTTGGACAGGAACTGGGGTGGATCGTCCGAGACTATCGGCGGGCTGCTGTACTCCTTCCGTTCCGCCCGGGTGAGCACGTGACGCCTGCTACCGTACGGCACGTCACCGCCGAGGATGCTGGAGATGAATCGTCTGGGTGGCGGGCTGGTCGCGTTGCTCGCCGGCGTAGGCGGCGGCGACGGTGCCGGACTGCTACTGCGTAAGGATTCCGGGGTCGTTGCACGGTCATCATCAGTTTTGTCGCGATCTGGAGAAACGAAAAAAACTTTGAGATATTCCAGCGTTTATTTTAACAATTTTTGTTGATAAGATTTTTATATATTTTAGTGAATATTATAAAAAATAAATATGTTAAGATATTTATTTATATTTATAACTCAATATCTTTCTCTCTTGGAAAATAAACTTTTTGAAATGCACTTGTCGAGAAATTTACTGTACATCTATAATTTATGCTTGCATCGATTAAATACAAAATTTAATATTTGACAAATTAACATTTCAATACGAATAAATTATCCATTATTATTAAAAAGAAGTATAACAAGGAGGAATCGGGAATATCAAATTTGAAGAGCATCAATGTAGTTGCACGCGTAAAAATGCGCAGGATTTGGGTAAACTTTTCAAGGGATCATTTGCGCAAGCTTGTCACGTGACGTGGATATGCATTCGGGGTGTCTGACCAGAATTGAATTTCGATACAACGCGGAGACTGGTCATAAGCAATGGCATGGCGGTTGCTTGGCCCGTTCGTGGTTGAATTTACGAGCAACCTTGAAGGATTCGCCGGTACCGTATGCCGATAGGCGCTCCTTCACGCGCGCGTCCTTCGCATGTATACGTGATCTCCCGCTTCTCTCCTCCAGCAATTTTCAGCGCCGTGTATTCTGTACATAATCGCCGCAGTAACCGTTTTTAATTAACATACAGTAAACGACAACCGAGACTACGGTTTCATCTCTCACCGCTGATCCTTTTTTCTCGAAAGGAATGGAGATATTAACGGACAGTCATCTTCATCAGTTATGACATTAAAATTGAAAAATAATTTCTACATTTGCCACAAGTAATCTTAACGAAATTATCTCAGTATTTCTACTAATTAAAATGAAAAATGTCGTTGGATTTATTATTGGTGATATATACACATTGATTTTCCAAATGAACTTTTTCATTGCGTAGAGCATCATCGATTTTATTTTTTCTAATCGGATAATCTATCATTAGAGGTACGAGGTATACGATTTCTTGACTTTGACATCGAATGCTCGCTGACGGAGCACGAGGATACTATGTCATGCAATCATGTTGTTGGAGCGACAATCAGGAAACTAACTACGAGGACGCGAATCGAGTCTTACTGAGGTCATGCGTATTATGGAGAATACGTTGAAGACAAGAAAGACATTTCACAGAGAGATTTTTTATTTTCTTAGTCTTCAGTGATATTATACTTGATATTTTTTCATTTATCGAAAGTGTTTATTTTTAATAAATAAATAAATAATTAATTAAATATTATTTATGATCCATACTTTTGATATTAAAAAAATGAGCGAAAAGGAGCGTATAAAAATATTAAAGAAAGTAATACGTGTATATTGTGTGTGTCTGATCATGTGATTGAAGATTGTGAGAAATTGTAAGAAACTACAGGTGAAATCGAATCTAAAGTATCCTCGAGTCAACATGATCAAAGTTTGCGTAAAAATCAATCGATCAAGTTGAACGATGAATGTAATCTCCCGGCGTCCTCCATCTTTTCAATGAGGGTGATTTGAATTTTTGTTCAAAAGACTCGTCCCTGAGCTCGAAATCTCAATCGGCGACGATTTCGACCTCGAAATTACGAGTTAGACGAGGTGCCTAACGATATCTTTACGCAATCGCTTGCGTCAGAGCTTGCAAATCCCGAAGGTAACAGCTACGGTAGCGGTGAAACTCCAAAATGGCGAGTCCGTTCCGTTCGTCGGGCAACCTTCGGTACCGCGCGCGCAAAGAGGACCGTGCGTGCATGCGTGAGTGCGTGCATGCGTGCGTGAGTTCCTCTAACCAAAACCCCCTAACAGGTTCCGCCGCGCTATAAATACCTGCGGCGCGATCGTCGTGACCGAGGTACCGATGTACGCCTTTGCCTATCTTCGACTCTCTCCCACTCGGATCTCTCGCTTATTCTCCGGCCTCGTTCCCCATTCGTCCGTTTTATCTCTCTTTCTCATTTTTCCTTTCGCTTCTCTCTCCTCCTCCAACAGAGAACGAGAGAGAGAGAGAGAGGGAGAGAGAGAGAAATGGAGAGAAAATGAAATGAGAACCGGTACATCGAGTTGGAATCGAGAGGAACGGGCTTGCTCGCAGAGCGTGTTTGAAGATGAGAGGAGAAAAGATCAATCGAGAGAGTCGGAAAATCCCGATAAGTCGAAAATGTAATTCTGTTATATATCCGTATCGAGTTTATAAGTAATAATAAATTCATTTTTTTTTTACTCTATCCATCATTTCCGACAGATTGATCAAAATTACAAGTATCTTTGCTTTAACCCAATAAGAGAAGTTATAGTTTCCTTCATTATCACGATAATATGACGTATAATATAAGTTATAAAACAGCGAGATGTATCTTATTGTCATTAAAATTCTGAAGAAATCTCGACTCGATTCTTTTAGATAAATAAAAAGATCAACCTGCGTCAGCGAAAACGAAAATATTAAATTGAATGCGCTCGCGTCAGGAGTAAAGTGCCCGAAGAACGACCGAGAGAAAGAAAAGATCGACGCTCGATTCGACTGGATCCTTGCAATTGCTACAACGCGAAACTCAGTGTTGAAACGAGCAAAATACACTTCCTGACAGCCGCTGTCATTGCTAGTCAAATCTATGATCCGCGCGACTGAATGCGCATCGCTACGCATAACGTCGAGAGTCTAGTTTGAATTAATTAATTCGTATAAAATAGGAAGAAATTTCATTTTTAATCCCAATTACGCTGTTTCAATTCTACGCTTATAAACAGAATTGCGCTTAATTGCTGTTATTACGATCCTAGCATTTGGGTGCGGAGCCCGAGTCTCCGATTGTCGATCTATCAGCAACAGTTAGCGGTGGTTTCTCAAGAACGACGATAAAACACGCCTTATGACGTTTACGGCAATCCATAAATATCTCGCGCAGAATCATTCTCTATAGATATAGAATATGTATATAACGCGTCGATTACTTCATCAGCCGATACATTGTTTCTGGTTTGTACGCAGATAGACGCGATAAACGTCAGGTCTGGCGAAGGTGCGCGTTGTGTTAACCGCGATGTTGTTGTAGCCGAAAGGAAAGGAAAAATCTGAAAAAGGACCCGAGAACAGGGAGCGGTTGATCGTAAGTAGGTCGGCTAAGCCGCGGCGTTTCGTTCGTCACGATCGAGCAGATATTGTCAGTAAATGAAGGTATACCGATCGCTGACGATGCATCGCTCGCGCCCCGACAGACAACTTGCACCAGGAGTTGGCCACGATTCGAGGCGCTTTACATCGTACGACGCACACGGCGGATTTTTTTCTCGAATATCGCGCTTCTCAATCTCGATGCTTATTGACGAAAGCGTCTCTCTGCGTCTTATTTATTTTTTTCAATACGCTTGTACTATATAAAAATTATCATAAATATTGTATATTAGCGAGTCTAAATGAAAACATGTTTCCTATTTTTCAACTTCGAAATCTTCTCGTAAATATAGTATATGTCATTTATATTTTTTTTTATAATAATGCGATATATTTACAAATGTCAAAAGAAATTGCAGAGAAAAAAATGTTAGGAAAAATGTTCTGGATAATTGCGAGAATAATTAATATCATTGTTAATTAATGTAATATTTATGATAATATAATATAAACTCGATGTATTTATAAGCGTCGGGAGAAATTGCAAAGACAACGAAGTTGGGGAAAAATCAGCTTGATAATGACAAGAAAATGCGACGTTCATGGTCGCTCGCAGCCCGACGCGGTATCTGCGTACATTTGCGTAGCGGTACCGTGCGTGGGTCGTCGCGCGCGGACAGCAAGGTGACACCGGCCACTTGGTCGCTTTACGTAATGGATAGTATTCCCTCCACTTGGTCGTTTATCGGCGCATACGTTCCCTTCTATTTTTTCAAACCGTCCATTTTGGCAAAATGCAATCTTTTTAAATATATTGTCCGCAATTCCTCTTGTTTGCGATGGAAAAATCGAACGTGGGAAAAATTTGTCAAACCGATTTGGCAAAAATCAAGTATTGTATATAACATGTAATTGATTAGAGAAAGATAGAAAAAACTGTGTAAGATACATCTCGAGTCTTGCAACAAGGACTCTTTCAATTAAATGATTAAAATGTAATTTAAAAGAGTTCAATCTAAAATAATATGGAATACGATAAGATACGTATGTCCTGTAGTTATGTGTACACAGAGAAAAATGTATACTGCATTCAAGTAAATATTATTTATTTTAAGTATATCATAAGTTTGTACATATATCCGCAAATATATCATAAGTTCATCACAAACATTAAATTTAATTGAATATATTCTGAAAGTGCAGTATTTTAGTCAAGAATATTAAATTAAAATAAAAATTTGGTTTGCTTACTACAAGAGTTGACGTAAAATTAGTTTGATTTTTCTTTGATACAACTTTATAATATTCTTGAAGAAAAAATAAATTCTTCTTTTGAGTACATGATAATGAGATTTTCTAACACTTGTGATGAGCATATTTTAAGACTATTATCAAGAATATATTCTTTGTTGAAGAAAACTATTATTTAAAAAAAGAAAAATAAACTGAATAATCGCTTTTGTTGGCAGTAGAATGATATTTTTCTCTGTGTATGTATAGTATGATATTAAAGGCTGGAAGATGATGTATTATCGATTGAAGGGAAAGTCGTTGTTCTCTCTTTCTCTCTCGATTCGATATTTCTCATCTACATATGTGCGTGACTTGATCTTATGCTATCTGTAAGATCGGAAGTGCCCATACCCTTTTAGCGAGAAGCTTTGCAGACTTAATTTGAGAGTCGGCTCACTTTGTGCAGATTATCATTCTTATAAATTACACGCGTCTCGTTTTTTATCGCCATCAATAATCATACACAAGAATTAACGCGCCACGTTTGATCAGCTCGATTGCGCTTCCATGGATCGAATCGGATATACGCGTAGCATACGAGTGTTGTGCGCTTCCTAGAAACTATAAGACGTTTGT